TAGGAGAGATATTTTCTGCCTGATTAAGTTCTAAAAGATGTGTTATAACTTATTATAGCGTGATAGAACAATTGCTGTGAATTTGCTGACAATATGATCTTTTTCTCTTCATTTTTGTAGAATCTACAGGTTGCTCTGTCTACTTTACCTATTTTATACAGATTATATTTCACTGACCATTGTCTTTGCTGTCTTGCTTAGTCTTTTGAAGCTTCAAGAGTCTTTTTGCGTAGATTTTCCCAGCCATATTTATGGTTGTCCTGGCACCCACAACAAAGTTACTTTGCTGTACCCTGTCAGTTACTTAAGAGGACAAGCTGTCACCGATTGTTAAGTTGTGAAGTTCACAGCCTTCACTGCAGCTTGTCTGTGCCAATACATGTTTGGCTAAATTGGGCGGTTTTTTCAGGAACTCTTTCTTGTTTCTACTGAATCTTATGTTTTTGACCCACTAGTATAAAACGTGGGGGTAGCTCTTGTGGTTTGTGCGTTATCGTTCTGTGTCAATTCACATCCTTTTATGGTAGTGTACAATCTCCAAAAATGTATCCAAATTGATCATAGAAATCTTCCATATTCATTTATTGAGTTAATTCTCATTCTGTTTAGCAAGCGAAACATACATACAAACACCTACTCATACGGTCAGACTCTGACTTGAGCAGTGATATGGAAGGTATATCACTGGTCTTGACGCTGCGTGAACGTGACTCGTGACGTCCGACGTCCCTGAGTGAAGCATGGAAAGTTAGAATGCGAACGATAAAGGTGTCCCAAGCGGCGCATCTTCTGCTCAAGATCTATCCTGATTTTTTTAAACTGTAATGGTGTTTCTCCTGAGATACTCCCCCACCTGGAAATCTAATCGCAGGCTGTTTTTGCTTTACCTGAGAAAAGTCACCATGCCAAGCTCGATTTTGACAACTAATGCAATCAAAGTGAAGCGTGCCTCGCATCCGCTTACATTTTTCCTCGTTTATAGCCTACAGGCTATAACCCCTATTCTCTATAGACTAGAAAGTTGTATTCCTACTTCTTCTTCTTTACGTGCCATCTCCGCGACAGAGGTTGGCAATCATCATGGCTATTCTGATCTTAGATGATGCCGCTCTGAATAGTTTGATTGATGTGCATCCGTACCATTGTATCTTTCATTATGTATAACATGCCCCAGGTATTGCAGCTTTCGTGTCTTGATGGTTTCCAATATTTCCATTTTTTGTTGACTCTTTTCATGACTTCGTTGTTTGTCACATGCTCGGTCCATGATATCTTCAGGATTCTTCTGTACACCCACAGTAAAAATGTTTCCAACTTTTTAGTAGTCGACGCTTTAAGCGTCCATGCTTCCATCCCGTAAAGCAGAGTCGAGAAAATATAACACCTTGCCAGCCTAAATCTCTAAGACGAATTTCAGTTCTCTTGCAAAAAGTACGTTTCTCATTTTCTTGAAGTGTGTTCGTGCTTTCTCTATTCGAAATGTGATTTCTTTGGAGTAATCTTTTGCGTGATTAATTATTGTGCCAAGGTAATTGTAGTTTTCAACTTGTTCTAAACGTTTACCGTTCATTGTCAGGCTTTAATCATTATTTTGGGTTTTTGACATCCTCATAAATTTAGTTTTCTCGATGTTTATTGATAATCCATATTCTTCTCCACACTCAACTATCTTGGTCATTAGCTTTTGGAGGTCTTGGAAGTTATCTGCTATTATGATAGTACCTTTATTCCTGCTGTTTCTTCCTTAAAAGCTCTTTTCATAATTTTTTCAGAGTGTACATTGAATAGTAGTTGTGACAATACACACCCCTGTCGCACTCCTCTTTTAATTTCGAACTCTTCTGATGTGTCTTCATTAATGCATATGTGTACCTGCTGTTTATATTATAGATTCGTTATAATTCGAAGGTCATTGTATTGTAATTGTTTTGCTTTGAGGACGTCCATTAGCTCTTTGTGGCGGACTTGATCGAAAGCCTTTTTGTAATCTATGAAACAGACGTACATATCTTGGTTCACATCCAAGCATCTCTGGATTAGTACGTTGCATGCAAAGAGAGCTTCACGGGTACCTACGCCTCTACGGAATCCAAATTGGGTCTCTTCAATATCCATATCAAGTATTTGGTTAATGCGTTGATGGATGATCTTTAAAAACATTTTAAGTGTGTGAGACATCAGGCTTATGGTGCGGTGGTCGGTGCATTCTCTAGCATTTTTCTTTTTTGGGAGACAAATAAATGTTGAGGACAACCATTCATTGGGTATGTCACCCGACTGATAAATTTCATTAAGGAGCTTTAAGAGGACATCCATGTACTCATTTTCTATTATTTTAAGGATATCAATAAACAGTTTATCTGGCCCTGGGCTTTTTTCGTTTCTGATGTTCTTTAGTGCATACAATATTTCTTCCTTTGTAAATTCTATACTTGTTTCTCTGTCCTCGAAAGATGTGTCTTGTAGGTTTCCTCTTTCGTCGTCGAAGAGCTCTTCCATATATTCTTTCATCGTTTTAGCTTTTCGTCAGTCGTTATCATAGTATTTCCATTTTTATCTAAAAGAGTTGTGCTTCTTTTTACAGCCCTGCCATTTCTTTAACCTTTTTATGTAGGTTGAATAGGTCGTATTTGTTCTGAAGATCTATCTCTTTACATTTTTCCTCATAGTACGTTTGTTTTGCCTCTCTTATCATTTTTCTGATTTTATTGTTAATAATTTTGTAATTGTGACTGTCTTTGTTCTTGGCTTGTCGTCTTTGGTCCATCTGCCGAGTATTTTGTCGGTCATCCAGTTCTCTCTTTCTTATCGGTTCTTTTAATATCTCTTTGTATGGATCGAGCAGGTAATTTTTTAATGTTTCCTATTGTTGTCTTATCTCGTAGGTATTAGTATGTAATTTATCAAAGTTTTCGTATTTTTTCTGTTCGAGTTTGATTTTTACATCAGATTGTTTCAGTTTCATCACATCTAATTTTGGAGTTCTTTGGGGTTTTCTAATACGCTTAAGCGTGACATTAGCGATTAGTGGGTTATGGCCTGATGTGACATCTGCTCCTGGATATGTTTTAACTGATTTGATGGTGTTATCTCTTTTTAATCATTATATAATCGATTTATTTTCTTACCACTTTTTCCGATTTATCAGCTGGTGAGCGCTATGTATATAACCGTCTCATAGGTAATTTAAAGAACGTGTTTGTGGTTATTAGACTTCGTTCTTGGCAAAATTGTATTAGACGATCTCCTCTATCGTTACGTTCCCTTAGTCCTAGATCTTCCATTATTGTTCCAGCTCTTCCCTTGCCGACCTTTGCATTTAAATCGCCCATAACTACCGTGAATTACCTGGTCTTCAGTCCATTTTCAATTTTTTGGTAGAATGGTAATATTTCATCCTCTGTTGCATCCGTCATTGGCTCATATACTTGGATGAAATTTAGTTTTGTAGGTGATATACTTATTTTTAGTAGTAACACTGTTTCTGAGATTGGGACAAAACCCTCTATTGACTTGTTAACCGCTGTATCGATAATAATTGCTACTCCACGTCTATGCTGGTTGTCAATGTTTTCCTAGTAATATAAGGTACCGGTTTCTGGCGAAAGATATCGTGAGTTTCGCTTACACCCAATATATTTACATTCATTCTTCTCATTTCTTGAGGGATGTTATGCATTTTATCAGGTTGATACATGCTTTTGACGTTCCATGTACCTATTTTTGCATTTGATAATTTTACTTTGTCTTGTCTCGATGTTTGACAAGGGTTTCGCCGGTTAACGACCTGAGAGTGCTTGTCTGTTCCTCCCTTTCCGGATCTTGGGCTTCGATTCCCATGATCAGTTTCTTTTTTTTTAGTACTCATTACCATGATGATTGTACTAGAGATATCCAATTGGATCTATAATGCAGTGGTTTCTCCTTGCCATCTGCATCATTATGCCGTTGACCATTTACTTGATTCATTCGCCTTTGGTGCCAATTTCTTAGCGCCAGGACATAAGAGTGCCCTTCCACTTACCAACTCATCCGCCGGAGCCGGATGTGGAGAATTGTGGAATTGCTTATACATTCCTGCTGGAGTACCCTTACGTGTAACAATTGTTAATGTGTGATCGCTCATTATCCACATTCTTAAAACAGTTTATTGTCTTTTACTGTGATCTTTTCCGTTGCACTTTGAATACCGTCAACGAAAATGAAAATTTATTTAAAATAACTTTAAATTAAATTTCAAGTTGCACAATTTGGTATGAAATAAAGATATGCTCGAACAATAAAAATATTTTACTGTTAATTTTTAAATGTTTAGTATTTTTAATTTATTCTTTATGGCGAATAAAATTTAATGCTTACAAATTACGATAAATAAATGATTTGTGTTGTATAAGGATTTCTAGTATTCATTTTTCTATTATGAGCAGATAAGAGATTGTACTAAATAGTCCGGGTCGTATGAGTTCACAGGCTAGGAAAAATATTCTTATTCGATATATTTGTACATTCTTACTTCAAATAGTCCCCTTATAACAAAATCATTTGTATCTGGGTTATATAATATTAATTTTATGGCGATATTAATTATATATCTGGGAAGAAAGTTATGTTTGTGATTTTTTCGTAAAATGCAATATTAATCTTATAATTATTATTATGTTGCTATGACGTGCTTTTCAATAAATACCAATAAAAAAAATTAAAATACCTTTGACAAAATATGTACTCAGCTAGGATAAAATATAAATAAGTTCATCCATAAATAATTCACAATTCTTACATTGAAGGCAAATTAAGAGTTTTTAAATTTTATTATTTATTAAATACTTTTTATTTCGATGTCAATTGTACCGAGATTATTCTGCAAAAAAATATGGACACATTGTAACAATTTACACCAAATCTTTGTTTAAATTCTAAGATGTGCTTACAAATGGAGGGTATCAGCTGTCATACATTTTCTACTGGAATTATAAACGTTTTGTTGACTTGATTTTTAGAACACAGACCTCATGGACGAGGAGAATACCCTACATTACCAAGAACAGGGTCAACATCTGAATTTGAACCTCTTGAAGACAAACAAGTCGAATATTTCTTTGCATCAGATGCTTCCGCAATTATTGAACATACCAACAGGGTGATTTATTTTGAAGTAAGTGTACAAAACAATCACAATAATTTCTTTTACGAGGATTACATTTAAAGGTTCTACAAAAAATAAAGAGTATTTTACATTTTCTATACATTTTTACTTGTGTTCAAACCAGTGCTGGAAACATTTTCTCCATTCTGAAGCTAATATCTATTTCGCCTTGAAATTGAGAGAAATTGTATTTTTTCAATTTTATGGCCTTAATTAAATGGTTTTCTTATGGTGAATCATATCCCTCGACAGGCCACAACTGCACGCCAAAAATACTGATAAAGAGCCGTTCCTACTGTATGGCTGGTAACCCCTGAAGTACCTCCTTCGATAGGTTTGGCATCATCCACCTAAATTCCTCTTCTGTGCTTCTGACCACCTTCTGAACCCCAGCTCCTTAGTAGTCCACTACTTCTCCACATATAATATCAATCATCACGTTTTGTCATACCTCTATTATTCCGAAAAAAAGAGTATCCCTTCCTTGGAGAGGCGAAAAGCCTAAACAAGGTTAAAACTCTGGATCCGTTGATTTAGATTATGCTATACAGGAAACAAGACTCCATTTTTATGCTATGAAATCTGCTGTTGCTGTTATTACATTCATAGTCACTTTCAAATTTAATCTCATTCAATTTTTAAAAATTGGGAATCATCGTTTCTATACCCTGTATACATCGTTGCCTTTCTACAACATTCCTAGTTCGTATGGGAGATTCATTATATAAAGATTCTCTGCTTCTGTTCTGCCACACTGACCAACTATACAAAATAGTACAAACCTAACAAAGTCTCCAGCTTTAAATCTTTGTATGCCACTATTATTAAATGTTGTTTCATGATACATAGAATCCAGCAGTTTTGCAACATAATTTCTAATTTTTAAACTAGTTGTCATCCTGATGCATAAGTCGTGGACTACTATGCACCCTGATGCGCATCGCCCCGCCTTAAAACTGCTTCCAATTTTATTATTGGTCGAGAGATCTGAAAATGCCATATAAATATAAATATACTTATAAATATGGGACATTTTCTGCTCCCGGTCTTAGTCTGGGCTCAAGTCGGCTCCCAAATGGGTCTCTGCACCCTGGGAGTCCGATGTCGGGGCTCTGCTCCGCTCTACGATCATAGACTCTGTGGCTGGATTGTTTTTCCCTCAATAATTGTTTTATTTTACTTCCTTTACTTTGTATGAGAAACACCACTTAACCATCGACAATGGAATTTACGCAGAGGGTTCTTCGAATTGATTGGTCGAAGTCACTTTGTAAGGCACCGTGGGAGTGTTTAAGTGGCAGTAATTCTTCAAAGCCATTAAGTCACATCTGGTGATATAGTCACTGATTTTTTGGACATTTAAAATGCAAAAATTCGTTTTCTGAACTATACTTTTACATCTTTTTAATAATAAATTCATATAAAACTACAAATAACTGCAGCTATGCATCTTGGAAAGCATAAACTCTTCTTCAACTTAGATCATTTCATCATTTGTTTGATATATTTTCAATTCTTGAAGCTGTTGCCTTCGATGTACCCATATAGTCAGCTGCTAATATTTACATTTTTCCAGAAGCAAAAAATATTAATGTTAAAAATAAATGTTAGACTGGTGTAATAACTTCTCCCCTAAAATATGTGCTGATTAGTATGTTTTCTATACAATTTAGAACATTAACATTGGTTGGTTTGACTTTTTAATGAATTTTTATCCACCAACGTTAATGTGATGACAAATTTTATTATATCTTAATAATATTATCTTTGTTACGAAGTTTTTTTAAATATTGTTAAATACAATGACGTCACAACTTAGTAACGCTATCTATTGGTCGATTATACAAACTTTAAAAAATGCAAGCTCGTAAATCGTGTGATAAGTGAGTGTGTAGTTTTTGTGATTTGAACGATATCATTTTGTGTTAACACTTCTTCATCGAAGGTTGGAAATCATCATGACTGTGTGGACTATGTTCCCCGTTTTTCATATGATAATATTTAGTGTAAGTTCAAAATCTTGTTTCGCAGCCATAATATATGTAGACATATTTTTGTTTTGCATTCGAATACCAAATATGTACCAAATTTCAGGTACAGTTGCGGTCACGGAATAGTTTACAGGTTCACGTATCTAGGAGCCCATTTTTTAAATTTTTACTTCGTTTAAACGCACCTTTTACGTCAAAGTGACGTTGCCAGTGGTGTACTAGCTAGAATAGGTAGATTAAAATTAAAATATCAAAATATTTTACAAAATGAAAAATATAGAAAACAGTTTTTTGAATAAAATGGATTATGATCTTAATAACGAAAATAAAGAAGTCTCTTTTTTTAATATGCATTTTATTTTAAATCTATTTTATATTAAATAACGATAAACAATGATAAATAATAATTAATATTTGGTGGAAGCCCCATTCTTGTCAATACAATTTTGCAGTCTTCTGTTCATAGATAGCACCAATCCCCTCATGTTATAGTTAACAAGCTCTTCCCATGCCTGCTCAATTGCTTCCCGTAATTCAATTCTATTCCGTGGTCTAAGGTTTCTTTCATTTAGTTTCTTTGTTAACTCTGCCCACACATTTTCGACGGGGTTAAAGTCTGCACTACGGGAAGGCCACGGAAGAACATTAACATCAGTTTCTTCTAGCCATTCTCGAACAATTCTACTCGTATGCACCGGGCAATTGTCATGTTGGAAGATAAAGTCGTTGTTGGGGAATCTCTGGATCACCGATGGCAACATTGTGTGCTCAATAATATGTTTGTAATATAATCCTGTTAACTTCTCCTCTACATGATAACAAACGCCCGGGCCTTCGGCACTTATCCATCCCCATACGTTGACAGAGAATCCTCCACTATTTCTTAAATGATGCGTATACTGTTCATCATACCTATGATTTCTCGGCCTATAAACTCTTATTCGACCATTATTATACGACTGAAATACTTTTTCATCGGAAAATACAACCCTAGACCAAAAATTCTCATCGCGGTTTATAAATTCATTACAAAATTCAACTCGTCTCCTCTTGTGATCCTCAGTCAAAAAAGGTTTCCGTGCAGCTACACAATTTAGCAGTCCACTTGCTTTAATTCTTCGACGCGCAGTGCGAATACTGCCTGGAAACGCTGCCTCTTCTCTTGCCTTTTGAGCTGTGGCAAAAGGAGATTCTCTCAAATAATCTACTAACATCTCATCCTGTTGATCTGTGGAAATCTTCTGCCCTCCTGAACCGCCCAACCGTGCTATAGAGTGAAAATTATCCCATCTTTGTTTAATCTTCCATATGCACATATGACTCACGTTCAAATCAGCAGCAACTTGCCTTAGTGACCAACCTTCTTCGAGTTTGGCAATTGCTCTTGCTTTTTGTGCATAATTCAAATGTATTCTAACCATTTTGGAAGAGTTTAATATACTTTTATTTTATTGTTGAACACTCGCGAAAGCATTGACGTTTTGAAATTTTTTGACTTTGACATTTATCAAATCCGTACGACACTGCAATTTTACAGTATTACAATATGAAAAGTAAGGTGTAAACTATTCCGTGACCGCAACTGTACCTTGCTTGCGATGAGCATTAATAATATACTTACCTGTAACCACTATAACTAGATGATCTGTATAGCCCAGAGCACGAAATCCTTTTTTGAGCATTTTTAAGAGATCGTCAACCACTATCGACTACAGTAGACGTGATAAAACTCTTCCATGAGGAGAAATTAGTCAAAGATTCCTTATCAATCAAAGAGAGAATATACTAGATCTTATAGGTTTCCCTTTTATCTTCCTCCCCTATCTTTTGAGAGTACATCGATGTATTATTTCCTTTAATATATTTTCAATTATTTTTAGGTGTTTTATTTTCCCAATACTCTTCTACTTTTGGTTTTGTAATGATTTCTACGTCGTTGTTGGTTTTAGTATTCGTCAAAGTTTCATTTATCAATCAATCTTATTCTAATAGTTGTTTTTATTTTCTGATGACTTCCGTAAGGTATATTTTGTCTTTTTGTCGCTAAACTCATCTCATTACAGTACTAAAATCTAATCATGTTCATATATTTTTAGGATGACGATGTGGCAGCTGTTAAAAATGGTTCCCTTAGCATCCACAGAATCCGAAGAGCCGGTGATGACCCACAAAAACGAGAAATTACCACTTTAAAGATGGAGTTGCAACAGATAATGAAAGGAAATTATGATTTCTTTATGCAGAAAGAAATTTTTGAACAACCCGAATCTGTCATCAATACTATGAGAGGACGTGTTAACTTTGAAAATGGGGTAAGTTCCTAAAAAATAAAATATAGTGTAAATAAAAAGTTCTTGATTGTTTTTTTAATGTAAATTTGGTAATTTATAATTGCAGAAAGTAGCTTGTTGTAAAATGTTTACCATAAGAGTTTGGTCCGTCTCTACTTCTTTGGAGCCTGGTGTAGGAGACTATTATTTCATGCTTATTCCTGGTTTTACATCGGTGTATATCCTCATGTCTTTGATGACGATCAATATTTTGTTTCACATGAACAGTACAGTATTTGTTGCATAAATATTGAAGGTAGAGTTAGTATGTGTAGTGAAACAAATACTTGTCAACATTATTTTTGATTGAACAAGCCAGAAATTATCCTTACCACTCTTCTTTAGATGTGAAAGACATCTTTGGCTCTAGCACTGTGACCCCATGCAAAAAATTGCATAGATGTGTGACTGTTTTCGAATCAATTGAAATACACATTCAGAAAGTCTTCTCATGAGACTTTCTGAATTGAACAAAGTTGCAGATCCTAATTTAGCAACAAGGGATTTCATATGAGCTTTCCAACACAGTCCTACGTCCAAGTAAAACCCCAAAAATTTGACGTGGGCCCAAAAACTTCTTGTGTGTCAAAGCATAATAGTAGGTACTTACATATTTTGAGCAATAAGCTCTGAATTTAATAAGTTTAACTACTAAATAAAAATATAATTAAAATTCATTATAGATATTTAAATACCTTAAGCGATTAGACTCACTTTTGCTTCATGTTAGTTGAGAAACTAGAGAGGAAGTGTTAGATTCGTTAGATACGGATGTAAACTATTGTAGAAATGACAAGTTTCTTTAACTGTCTTTATATAAGAATGTCATGCTGACATCGTTACGCGAGCTATTCCAATTATTGTGCACTTAATTATTAATTCTAATTCTTGTTATTAATGCATTTGAACTATCATAACTGAAATATTTTTTTAGACTGTAACTCTTGGTGGAATCAAAGATTACATTCCAGAAGTAAAAAGATGTAGAAGACTAATGTTGATCGGTTGCGGAACCAGTTACCACAGTGCCATCGCCACAAGGCAGTTGCTGGAAGAACTTACTGAATTACCCGTTATGGTGGAATTGGCGAGTGACTTTTTAGATCGTACTACACCTGTGTTCAGAGATGATGTTTGCTTCTTTATTTCACAATCTGGTGAAACGGCAGATACACTCATGGCCTTGAGATATTGTAAACAAAGAGGTATGCAGCTCCGTTTAATGAACTTAATTAAAATTTTTTTAATTATGTGATTTTTATTGAAATGTTTACTTTACACTTATAACAGCAAAACTTATTTAATTTATTGTTTGCAGGTGCCTTAATTGTCGGTATTACCAACACTGTCGGAAGTTCCATTTGTAGAGAATCCCACTGCGGTGTCCACATTAATGCTGGTCCTGAAATTGGTGTTGCTTCCACCAAAGCATACACAAGTCAATTTATTTCATTGGTTATGTTCGCGCTAGTCATGAGCGAAGATAGATTGTCTCTTAGACAGAGAAGAGTAGAGGTAAGTGTTGAGGTATTAATAGAAGTTGATTAAAAATTAAAAGGGAAAATCCCAGTGGTTGACTGTATACGATAGTAGACAAAAACTAGAAAATTGTTTAAAATAATTAGAAAATTATACAAAAGGATTCAAAATTTTTTCAAAACGTTTTCGGTTCTGTCGGATTATCATCAGTGAATCATGCTAAAGTAGGAGTAAATGATAAACATATTAAATTTGTAAAATATGGTGGCAGGAGGTCGCAGGAGGAGCTGTAATGACGGCTTCACATCGACGAGACGTACTCGAAATATTGTTAGCTATTTGGTCTTGATCAATATCATTCCAAATCTCGAGAGCTACTGATTCTACCTTTTGTAAGGTCTTCTGCCAATTATGTCCCACAAATGTTCGACCGGGTTAAGATCTGGACTATGCGATGGTCAATTCAAAGTCCGAAGATTTAACTGTTGTAAATATTCGGTTACAATTCGTGCAACTTGAGGTCTGGCAATATCCTGTATTAGCAAAACATTTTTACCAGTATAAGGAGAGAAAGGTACAACAATGCTCAGATAAAATATCGTTTATTTACCTTTCACTCTTTAAAGAACTTTCACATAAAGGAACAAGATCTGTTTGCTTTGTTAAAGAAATTTCTCCTCAAACCAGTATAGACCTCTATTAAATAAAGTATGTTGCCCTGGGCAAACGCTCATTTGGTTATCGGATTACTTTTAACCTTCGATCGGAATCTGGATTCATTTGTAAACAGAATGTTTTCCTAGTCGTCATTATTCCAAGTAACAATAAAACACTGAAAACTTTGTTTTCAAACATCCACGAAATTTATTTTAAATCTTATCACTACAGCTGTTTCGGCTGATTGCCTTTCTCAAGTGATCTATTGTTGGCTTGGGTTTACAAATTTATAGTCTCTAATGAAATAGGTTGAGGAGGTGAGAACTGTTTGTCTCAAGTTAGTCATTCAGAATTATATCTGTGTTTTTTAATTTGTTGATTTCCATAGATTCTAACAAAGATAGCTTAAGTCCTTTATTTTGAATGTGAAGAATTTTAAATTTGTCATTAAAAGAATGATTATGATCTAGAAGGTGAAGTGCGTATGTCGAATCTGTTTTTCTATTCTTGAAAGCCCTTTTATGTTCTGCTATTCGTTTATCAAAGTTTCTACCAGTTTGACCGATGTAAGTTTTTGGGCAGTCGCCACATTGAAGTTTGTACACAGCACTATTTAAGTGTTTTTTATTTTGGCTCTTGTTATTTTTAATATATCTGCCTAGGTTGTTATTTGTTCGGAAAGCTGGTGTTATTCCTTTCTTTTTTATGTGCTTGGCAATGTTTGTTCTTATTTTGTCTGTATATGTAATTGAGTAGAAGGTATTGGGTTTTTTCTCTGGTGGTGGAAATACTAATTTCAGGGCTTTCTTGTGTAGTTTTTGATTTAACATTTTATTAATTGTTTGTTCGTTGTATCCGTTGTTTACTGCTATTTGCTTAATTTTGAGACAGAATTAAATATAATTAAGCAAATAGCAGTAAACAACGGATGCAACGAACAATCAATTAATAAAATGTTAAATCAAAAACTACACAAGAAAGCCCTGAAATTAGTATTTCCACTACCAGAGAAAAAACCCAATACCTTCTGCTCGATTACATATACAGGCAAAATAACAACAAAAATTGCCAAGCACATAAAAAAGAAAGGAATAACACCAGCTTTCCGAACAAATAACAACCTAGGCAGATATATTAAAAATAAGAAGAGCCAAAATAAAAAAACACTTAAATAGTGCTGTGTACAAACTTCAATGTGGCGACTGCCCAAAAACTTACATCGGTCAAACTGTTAGAAACTTTGATAAACGAATAGCAGAACATAAAAGGGCTTTCAAGAATAGAAAAACAGATTCGACATACGCACTTCACCTTCTATATCATAATCATTCTTTTAATAACAAATTTAAAATTCTTCACATTCAAAATAAAGGCCTTAAGCTATCTTTGTTAGAATCTATGGAAATCAACAAATTAAAAAACGCAGATATAATTCTGAATGACCAACTTGAGACAAACAGTTCTCCCCTCCTCAACCTATTTCATTAGAGACTATAAATTTGTAAACCCAAGCCAAAAATAGATCACTTGAGAAGGGCAATCAGCCGAAACAGGTTTAGTGATAAGATTTAAAATAAATTTCGTGGAAGTTTGAAAACAAAGTTTTGAGTGTTTTATTGTTACATAAAATGAATTTCCATCAAGTAACGGTCGAATCCATCAATAATATACAAAGCCCTGCCACTACACAATCAAATGTGGGTAATGTTTTTCAAAATTTAAGATCTGAAAGAAGTGGTCCATATTTTACTGGTAAAGGTGGTTCTAAATGGTTTGTGCACAACTATCGAAACAAGTTTGGAAAAACAGACCTCAAAATATTGCTACACAGTTGCCAGGTATAAAACGTGTTGCCAAGAAAGCCAAAACAGTATTGGATTGTTGGAAACTTTTTCTTCGATAAAATAATTCAGTATATTACAGTTTACACCAATACGAAACTTACTAGAAACGTGAAACATTACGGTCCTACAAATTTTGACGAAGTGGGTGCATTTGTTAGGCTCCTATATCTTGCTGGTGTAAAGAGGGCCCAAAATTTAAATACTTTCTAAGAACTTTCTAGTATGGACGGAATCGTCCCAAAGTACTTTGCTTACAGGTAGCACCTGCAAAGTACAAAGTACTTCAACACATTAAAGAAATTGGGGGCTTTGAAGTATTAAATAATTTCATATACCTGGGGTCTCTAATAACAAATGACGGAGGGTGTGACAGAGAGATACGTAGAAGGTTGACTATTGCTAGAACAGCTTTGATGAAAGTGGTAACAATTTGAAAAAATTCTGGCATAACAATGCACACAAAACTAGGGATGGTAAAGGCACTCATTTTTCCCATAGCCACATATGCATCTGAAACGTGGACCTTAAAAAGCGGATAAAAATAAACTAGACGCTTTTGAAATGTGGGTATACCGCTGCATGTTAAGAATATCGTGGATTGATCATCGCACTAACGTAAACAACTTAAAGTGAAAGATAGATTGCTTAAACAAATACAACAGAGATATTTAAGTATTTTGGACACATTGCCAGTACGAAGGAAAAACTGATAGTCGAGGGTAGAGTTGAAGGAAAGAGACCTAGGGAAAGATCTTCAAGCTGCTGGGTAGATCAAACATAAATATTGATTAACCAAGGATTACATGAAGCCGAACAACTAGCCCGGTACAGGTATGGAAGGGAAATCGTGAAAAAACTGTAATGGCCTGATGGTGTCACCCATGGACGTATAAACACAGATGGACTCAGTTATTTACATGAAATTGTGAAGTCAAAATTATTTGAATAGGTCACATTCTCAGCACCTTCACGTTTTGTTTTAAAATTTCTTATTCGCGAGTCGCTGAAAATATTACTCCGTATTTTATACTCTACAGGTGCTATCAAACCAAAATAATAATTTATTGGTTATATTAATATATTTAATTGTAATCAAAATATCAAGTGTGCACATAGTGTGCATTATCATTTAATAATAGCGTATAATAGATATCAATCAATTATTTTATATGTAGAAGCACTGAAAACTATTTATAAATGGCAACGGTTGTTTACATTTCTCTGTCTTATGGATCTACGTCAAACTTCAAATGCTGTTCCATGTTTGTTTACTTTTTACAGTAAATGAGGAAAAAGTTATTTTTCGATATTTTGGCTGTATTTTGAGTGATATTTGTGAAAAGTGAAATAAAATAAACGAAATATTTACATCCCGATCTCTCATTTCATTTGTAAGTACATACAATTTACATTATTTAAGATGAGGAAATGAGGAAGCGTGTTTGTTTACATTTTAATAGGCGTACCATTGGGTCTATTCATGTTCATTAATGTATTGAATAAGATATGAGTTCATGAAATTAGTAGACATTTAAAAATTGTAAGTAGACATCATCTGATTAAAAAAGATCTGTTTAGTACCTTTTTAATTTAATATTTCTCATGGATACAAATAAATTAGTGAAATGAATAAAACTCATTTATTTTTCTATGTAGGTTTCCAAATAATATTGACGATCGAACTATTTGGGTAGCAAATTAAGGAGAAAACATAAAAAATTTTTATTGTAGCATTATTTTGATACTATTAAAAAATTAACTTGAATTCAACTATATTTAATTGTATTAATTTTAAAGCAAATAAAAATGTATTTTAATTTTTCTATAAAGACGTGATTTGTTAATAGTTAAACTCTCGTTTTTTTTTTAATTCTTTGAACGTGTTTTTATACATTATTACTACTTCCAATTTTTAAAATCTGAATAATTACCCGCGAGTAAAAATTCAAGCACGCTTATGCTCATTGCGGAAGCATCACATTCTATCGAAGCTTCAAAACATTGTGTGTTAAAGGTATCTTATTGCTGTGTCCATCTATGTTTATACGTCCATGGTGTCACCACATTCCAAAAGGGATTAGGACTGAGGAGGAGGATAATAAATTCGGACACCGTTGCCTAGAAAAAAGCCAATAATGTTTTATGTGTACCTATAGCTACGGTTTCTTAGAACAGTGCGCAGCGCACAGCATACAGGTACAGCAGAATCTGTTGTACTCGACTCACGGCAGTTTTGGGTGAGTCGGTTTGTTAGACTCGTATGGCATACATAGATTCTGTTGCGCTGAAGTTTAAAAATTAGTTCCAAGCTTGTTTTCTTAAAGGTTGTACGTTTAGAAAAATGACTTCTCGCAAACTTAACGCAATATGTTAATTCTCCAAGAAGAGAAGGAAGAACACGAGTTGATAATGTCAAATCTAAATAAAAGAAATATAAATGTAAATGAAATTATTTCATGTCGTAGTAAAGAAAGTGCTTGTCGGAAGAAGATTGTTTTAACGACGAACAATTTTGAGAATATTTTAGACTTTCCAGGAAATTATTTGAAACTCTTACTAATTAAATTATAATTATATTATTAAAAACCCTACAAAAGGAGACATCACCTAATTATTACTATTAATTGATATCGTTCCAAAGGAAAAAACAATGAGAAATATATTCATCGGCAGGTTTTTTTTCTATTTTTAGTACTTAATATACTTTATTTATTTATATTTTAATCTGTTTCAGATAATTGATGGTTTAAGAAATCTGCAGAGTCAAATCCGCGAAGTGCTTAAACTGGACGACAAAGTTAAAAGTCTCGCTGAAGACTTGTACAAAAAGAAATCTCTGCTTATTATGGGTCGTGGATTTAACTTCGCTACCTGTCTAGAGGGAGCTTTGGTAAATATATTGTTTATAAAAATAGACTAACTCTTTGCAAGATCATTACGAGGGAATTACATCAAATTTTTTTATTTTAGAAAGTAAAAGAATTAACTTATATGCACAGTGAGGGCATTATGGCTGGCGAATTGAAACATGGACCTCTGGCTCTTGTCGATGAAACTATGCCGGTAATGATGATCATGATGAGAGATCATGTTTATACTAAATGCATGAATGCTCTGCAACAGGTAAGAATAAATTACACTTTAAATATATGTAGAATAAATTATTTTGTGGAAAACTATTTTGCACGAAAGTTTTCCTCTTGCTTATCAGGCATTTAGTCCCAAATCTAAATACTAAAAAAGTAACTTTTACCTACTAATTTATCTATATAGTCCCCTTTTAACGAATAACGAACAATAAACAACACATTTTTTTGATCACAAAAATCAACACAAATATACATTTAATAACACCTGTGGACAAATATATATGATAGATTATGTTATAACCAACAGAGATATACATCCATAGAAAATAATCGACCTAAGATGCCTCAACTCAGAAGATGTAGGTAGCAACCATAGCCTAGTAAAATAAGAATCATCCTGAAATACTTCCCACCCAAGAGAGCGGCGCCACCAACAAAACAAAAACTAACAAAAATCAAAGTCGAATGACTAAATACAGAATCCACGAAATACTTATACATGGTTGTGAATCGTCAAACGGGCCATAGGAAACTCAATGGGAAATTCTAAATTACTGAATTCCTGCTTCCCTAATTATTTTACACCAAAAGTCATGAGAAACTATTTGTAGAGGACTCAAATATGTATCGAAAACAAATGTTAAAATTGTTCTACGATTTAAACATATTCCAAAATTTTGCAAAAATATATAATACATTTTTCCTAAAACCCTAAAACCCCTAAAAGTCAGGCCAGACGCCGTGAAAAAATGTGTATTACGTGTTGCGTTTTGTCATATTCTTGTTTCTGATATTTGACAATATTAAATCAACTATTATCTATTATTTAAATGGCCAAGATTTTTATTTTGCGATCAACTGTTTAAAAAAAATTAAGTTGATTAAAAAATGTACTCAGTTGAGGAGAAAAGCAATAATAAAAATGTTTTATTCATGTTTTATTGTAACATTTGTTATAGTTTTACGTTTAAAAATAGCATAAATTATTTTTAGGAATAAGGATCACAGTAACACTATATTGGAATTCATTGAATTGTTGTATAACTTGGAATTAAATTTTAGTGTATTAGAATATCTTACGTTAAATAAAGATCTGGTAGTACTTTGCAACTTTCATTATATTTATTGATTTGTAAACTATATAATGTATTGTTCACAAAGTAATATTTGTTGTTCAGTAGTAGTAGTATTTAGTAAAATTCATTGTTTATAATTTAATCATAAAATAAAAAAATTGACAATTCAAATATTGTCAAACATTTGACATAAATTTGTTAATCACATACGTCATAATATACATTCTTGTAATTTGTGTGGCCTAACTTTTAGGGGTGGACTGAAAAATTATTATATTTTTGCCAAATTTTGAAATACATTTAATTCGTAGAACGGTTTTAACATTTGTTTTTAATTCAGATTTTAGTCCTCTTCAAATAGTTTTTTATGACTTTTGATCAAAAATAATTAGGGAAACGGCAATTCAACAATTTAAAATTTCCCATTGAGTTTCCTATGGCCCGTTTGATGATTCACTACCCGGTATAGGAAAAGAATATCAGAGAAAATCGTTGGGAATGAAATATTAGAGAACGATAACACCGAGGGTATCTGGGAAAAACTCAGAAATATCATTAGTAACGCAGCAACAGAATCACTTGGAGAGAGGAGACTAATGAAAACTAACATATCAAAAAAGAACACAACACCATGATTTAGAGAGGAAGTGAAGACAAAATGTGAAGAATAGAAGAAAGCCTTTTTACAATACAGAACACAACAAACTTAACAAGCATACAGCCACTATGAACGAATCAGAAATGAAACAAATACTTTAGTTAGACAAATTAATTGATTGATTGAGGTGCTAAAAGAAGTAGGGCTGGACGGACACGACATAGCTATAATAAGCAATACATACTGGAACCACACAGGATGTGTTCGAACAGACAACGGAAATACCAATTATGTAAACATAGAACGAGGAGTGCGTCAAGGGTGCATTCTGTCCCCTCTTCTATTTAATGTCTATGCCGAAAATATCATCAGAGCTTCTCTTGAAGATCGCCGTGAAGGTGCCAGAGTCAATGGAATCATCATTAACAATGTAAGATATGCCGATGACACCGTAGTATTAGCAGAAACAGAAGACCAACTAAAAATATTGATGAACATACTATCAGAAGAAAGTCACAGACTAGGTTTGGATATTAATCTTTCCAAAACCAAAATCATGGTATTCCACAAGAACCCCCATGAACAAATTACACCCAACATACAAATCAATGGTATCACCCTTCAGAGCTCCCAAAGCTTCATATACCTGGGTAGAGAGCTAAACAGTCAGCTAGAGCATTCAAAAGTAATTAGAAGACGTATTGAAATAGCAAGATCTGGCTTCATGAACATGCGTAAAATGCTCTGTAACCCCAAGCTATCAATCACAATAAGGTTAAGAACACTAAAATGTTATGTGTGGTCTCTACTACTATATGGCTGTGAGACCTGGACATTAAAACAGTATGACGTCAACAAACTGAATTCATTCGAAATGTGGATGTACCGCCGAATGCTAAGAATAAGCTGGACCAGCAAAACTACAAATGAAGAGGTACTGGAAATAATGAACACACGACCTCATCTGGTTAATACAATCAAAATTAGAAAGACGTCATATCTAGGACACATAATGCGCCATAAGGAATTTGAGCAGCTCCAGGTAATATTAGAAGGCAAAATCGAGTGTAAAAGGGGTATAGGAAGAAAGAAGAAATCCTGGCTCTGAAACATCAGAGATTGGACTCACACAACAGGAAATGACTTAATCCATCAAGCCCAGAACAGAGAGAAATTTGCCATATTGATCGTCAACCTCAATAGAGAAGGCACTTAGGAGGAGGAGGAGACAAATAAAAAGTGAACACTGGCAGAGCTTCTCAAAACAGATGGAGCATGACTTCTACGGAACACAAAAAGAAATATGGAGAATGATCAGAGAATAAAGAAAAGAGATGAACGAACTAATAAAAACGATACACATTCATTAGAAGGAAGAGGTAAATGAAGCATTAAGGAAATCAAAAAACAAAATACCGAACGAACTCGTATGGAGGACCAGATCTGATCAAGCAACTATTAAAACTAATCCAAAAAATAATATAACAAAACAGAATTCCTCAAGAATGGAGATCAAGCATCCTATAAACTCTCTTTAAAAAGGGAGACAAATCGGACCCGAAAAATTACAGAGAAATTAAAAAAAAAAACAACACTAAAATTAACAACCAAAGTGATAACAAATAAACTGAATGAAATTATAACACTAGCAGAAGAACAACAAGGTTTTAGGTTGGGAAGATCATGCACCGACGCTATAAGAGAAATCATTAGAATACGTCAAATCGACATATCTATGTTTCGTGGACCTTAAGAAGGCATTTGACTAGGTCAAATTAAAAGACGTTATCCACTTACTGTACGCAAGAGAGATACCTTTAGGAATAATCAAAACGATCGAAAATATCTACCAAATTAACACAATAAAAGTAAAAGTAGAAGAAGAACTAACCTACCCTATTGAAGCTGGCAAAACAAAACAATAAAAGTAAAAGTAGAAGAAGAACTAACCGACCCTATTGAAGCTGGCAATGGGATAATACAGGGAGATTCCCTGAGTCCTCTATTGTTCAACTTGATTATGGGTGAAATAATAAAAAAAAGTAAGAACTAAAAAAGGATACCAAATGGGAGAAAAACAACTTAAATTAATCCACTATGCGCACGACCCAATACTACTCTCTCAAAGTGAAGATGATTTACAACGTATGCTGCACCAATTTAATATAACCGCCAAAAAAATTAACATGTTTATTTTCCAAAAAAAAAAAGACAAAATGCATGGTTGCAACAGCATATTTACTAAGATGTAAATTGGAGCTTGAAGGTCAGTTAATAGAACAAGTGATGGAGTTTAAATATCTAGGCATTACATTATCTAGCTACGAAAAGCTCGAAACTGAAGTGGAAGATGAAGTGAATAGAACAAACAGAGCCGCAGGCTGCCTGAATAAAACAATATGGAAAAATAAAAATATCGGGAAAGAAATGAAAGCCAGAATTTACAAAACAGTCTTCGGACCAATAATGACATACGCGGTAGAAACAAGACCTGACATGAAGAGGACAAAATAGATGTTAGAAACCGCAGAGATGAGAACACTTTAAAAAATTGATGGTAAGACACTAGGGGACAGAGCTATGGAAAGCTCTGTCTGCAGAGGGGAATGGAAATGTCAAACAATAGACTACCGAAGTGATGACGTAGAAGCATCTATTTTTATTGACATCTGTCAGTTTCACTTTCCAAACAAACTTTCTTTGGTTTGGATAATTTTGTATTTTTCGTTATTTCTTATTTTTTTTACAGAACCTTTCCGCTTTTTGCAATATCTAATTATTCTAATAGTTACTACAATTTTAAAACGTTCTGTAAATAATAAAGCATGTTGTTTTATAAAAATAGCAATAAAATGCATATATCAATAAAGTAAGGTTAGAATTTCTTTAATTTAAACTTTTAAACCTTAGACAAGGAAAGAGAGAGAACGGGTAACCATTTTTTTGGTGGCAAACAACCTGACACCAGTTTTGTTTTTGTGGTTTTTTAAAAGAAGTGAATTAAGTACCTATTTTTTTTTTACTTAACAAAATGGTGAATTGTGCAAATATATTCTTTGTAAAAATCGCAGCGAGCAGAAAACACCAGGAATATCGTTTCATAGGTAAATATTTATAATAGTGCAATTAGGTATTAATTGATTTTACTTTATATTTCAATTTTAAACCTCAAAACCAATTTAAATTAGTATTTTAAGGAAAGGTGAGATCTAAATTACTAAATAACAATGCTAAATATGCATAGTTATTTCAGTAATTGTATTATTGATAATTTCACTCACAGACCATGATGATTTGCCAGTAGCAGTGGGCGTTGAGGGTTAAAATTACATAAAATATTCCATAAAATTCCATAAATAAGTAAATAAATAAATAAATTTCGTTAATTTTGATTCCAAAATATTTGTATAAAATAAAATAAATTAAATAAAACATTTAATTTACAAAAATGTTTCATTTTAAATACGAATTAGTCAATCCTTAAAAATACAAAGATACACCGCTGACCACTTCCTCGGTGGCAGTTTGGCTTCACTTTTAGCGATACGGTTACGCGTCCTCTCTCTTTCCTTGTCTAAGTTTTAAACTATATTTCATAGAAATATAACACCAAATTATGATGGTAGAATCGTAAAAAACACTATACTTAAGTAGAAAAAACAGCACAGGTAGCAAAATTTTACTTTATAGAAATTAAAAAGTCTTGAGATTGGGCAAACCCTGGCTTTTCAACTTTTGTTTGGAAAGTAATAGCAACAGTATGGCCGCCGTGACATCACACTCAGACTGTACATTATAAAATGTCCTTGAACGTCATATTTAGTGGTCATCATGCTACTCTATAACATTTTATGTTAATATTCTGTGTAATAATTATTTTTTATTTTAATAAATAATAACCAGTATAAAATTTATTAGTAGATATCACTTAGATCTGTGAGTTTATAAATGTGTAAATTGACAGTATAGGCAAGATATAAAAAATAAGAAAAGAAGTAAATTACGGACTTGTTTAAATTTGATTTTTTACAGGTTACTGCTCGCGAAGGCAAACCAATTTTAATCTGCCAAGAAGGAGATAAAGAAACAATGTCCTACAGCCAAAAATACCTCGAAATTCCGAAAACAGTGGACTGCCTTCAAGGAATCCTAACCGTCATTCCAATGCAACTTCTTTCTTTCCACATCGCTGTACTTAAAGGATGCAACGTAGACTGTCCTCGTAATTTAGCCAAGAGTGTTACTGTTGAATAGTGTTTTTATATTATTTGTAAGATCAAATCATAATTCTGATGGGACCAGAATTAAAAGTATTCTACATTTAGGTTCGACATTTTTTACCTTTTTACAAAATTTTAGGCGTCAAACGCACTTGTTGATTTTTTTGTGTACAAATGCAGCGTTCTATAGATGAAATTCTATTTACAATCGTTTCAAATAGTTTGAAAACTACGTTAATAATTATTAATACAGTTACCTTAACTAATCTAAAAAGTATATTTTAACTTTGGATTTGAACATTACATTTTTATAATAATGGTTCCCAAAATGAGATTAGTTATAAATGTTGGATGTTATATTTGTAAAAATTAAATCGGCAAAAACTTTAGCAACTGTGTTAAACATTTTTAAATTATCTTTATACAATCAATTGTTGCTCCGACAAATTCATTTTAAGTATGTGATAAAAACACTGATATTAATTTACACAGAATATATTGTTTTAGAATGAAGCCCTTCAGCCAAACATCTTTTAAGGTGAATAAATTCAGTGGAAATTAAAACCTGTGTTTTATATTCACATAACCTATCAACCATTTTTTGTTCACTAAACTTTAGAATAACGGACTTTTTTTATATATTTGCTGCCAATATAGTATAATTGTTAGGTAACATTGACCTACTAAGGGTTTAATGTAATTAAATTTATGTTGATATATTATCACAGAACTTAAATTTTTCTCCTTCATATATAGTACCGACATTTTTTGTCTGGTTTTGTAACGTCCAAGTCGTGGTATAACCAAGGTCGTTAAACAACATCATACTGCTTGAGGGAACGAGGGGAAGAATCCTCTGAATATCTCTAAGGATATTCAAAAGAAACGCCCCATGTTGGGCGCCACTTTGTAACGTCCATATCTGGGTACCACCATGGGCGGTTATCAACATCATACTCATTTATTTTGTATAGAAAAATATTATACTACAGTTTTTTGTGCGCTGTATCCCTCTCTTTATCCTTAAGTAATCCAACTTTGGACATAGGCCTCCCCCAAATAGATCCAATGTTTTACTATTTTCCACCACCTGCTTCCAGTTCTGTCCTCCGATCTTCTTAATGTCATCAGCCCATCTCATTTGTGGTCTTCCTCTGCTTCTCTTTCTTAACCATGGTCTCCATTGTTGTTTTTCGTGGTTCCATCTTTTATCCTTCAGGCGGGAATTTTGTCCTGCGAAGCTCCATTTTAATTTGGCCGCATGATCTCCTGCGTCTTTTACTTCGGTTTTGCTTCTAATCCATTTGTTTGTTTTTTTTGTGTATAAGTCTCACCCGGAGCATTGATCTTTCCATCGCTCTTTGTGTCTTTACTATTTTATCCATATTAGTCTTGGTGAGTGTCCACGTCTGTGACCATACGTGAGTATTGAGGGGGATGCACTGATCGTAGCTGGTTTTTAAATATTGTTCTATTTTAGTGCTTTTCAAGATCCAACTCAGTTTTCCAAATTCTGCCCACGCTAACCTTATTCTTCTGGTAATTTCGGCCGTTTGATTTTCTTTGTTAACTTTTATTTACTGTCCCAGGTATTAGCTTACTGTTACTCGGGAGATTGGCCTTTAGTTCTCCAAATCTCGCTTGTCTCCTTTTTGAAGAGAAGTATTGTCAAACTTTCATTCCAATCATCGGGACTTCTCCTCTGTGAAGACATTCGTTGAAAAAATTTCCAATTCTTCGAGAATAATTTCACTCCCACCTTTAACATTTCTACAAGCATTCCATCTGGGCCCGAAGCCTTATTGTTCTTTAATTTTGCCATAACTTGTTTTATTTCGAAGGATTCTAGCTTAGGGAGTATTTCTGAGTTGACGTTCATTATCTTTCTCTTAAGATTTTCTCTTGCAGTGTTATCTGGGATCTTGTTTGAGAAATATAAATCGGAGTAAAATATTTGAGTAACTTTTAGGATTTCGTTCTTTTCTCATTTATTTTTCATATTTATCCTTCAATGAGATTAATATAGGTTTTCCTAAGTTTGATCTTAAATATTTCAGCCTCGGTTCTTTTTTATTTCTATTTTTCTATTATTTTTCTATCTTCAAAGCACCCACAAAACACAAAAACTCGTCATTCTACAAACTTTGTGTGTAGACTAAAGATTGTTTGCTATTTTTCAACTTATGAACTTTCCAAACTTCATTTAGTGTCTTAATGACGCTAACTGTCATGATACCAACAAGATCGCAGAAATTTCCTCTTTCATCAGCAGCTTAAAACATGTTCCTTTCAGCCAGACAGAAAAATTTTATTGGTTTGTAATTATGCTTTAACAAATTCATCATTTAGTATCTACATTTTTATTGTTAGGTAATTAACTTTTATTATTATATTAAGTTAAGTTTATTGCCATAAACTGTAAATAAAAATTATAGAACACAAAATATACCAGAAATACAGGCATTGTGATATGTTGTAAACTGCTATATCAATAAGAAAAACGTTGGGACTAAAATGTCTTAACTTTTTAATGAATCGCTGGATTCAATTCACGCCTTTTGTCATAAATTACAATATGAAAAAAGTACCAACATTCCGAGTTAGAACTCCAAAAAATTAGAAAAATCTTGTAACCCTCCAAGTTTAGTCCAATCTTTCTGATTGTTTCGATTGGGTTGTTATTAATATTAGAGAATGTAACCTAAAATCTTACATTGCATACATTACATAAAACTTAATTTGCTAAATATTTAATTCGGCATTAACTTAATTGTCGTTCTGAAGACACTAAAACACATCGTCTAAAACACAGGACGGTAAGAAATTAAAAACTAGTGAGCAGCAAAATACGTCAGTCACCTCATCGTCTATGCTAGTATCTGCTGCATTTGCATGAACAATCAATTCTGGAACAGGGCATATAAACCCAAAAATCAATATACTATTACACAACAGGGCCGGTGTGGTAGGGTGTTTTGTAAGCATTCAATATTAAAACATTCTTCATTTATTTCAACAGTTGCAAAAATGGCAATATCCTGTTTTAAACGTTCTTTAGGCTCAGCTCTTACCTGCCTACAAAGAAAACGATATTAAGAGTTACGATTAACACAGCCGAATTTTACGAATTATATTTTTATTTGGCCTATTTTCGTATGGCTGGGAATTGGTGGTTTCTCAAACGAAAACCCAATACTACCGAGTACCTTATCGATCTAAAAACAGGAATAATAACTTTTCACAATAAAAACTAACAGATAATACTTTTCTGACTCGAAAATGTCGTTAACTGAACGATTAAACTGGATAGAAAAGATAAGATGCGTATTTTCTTATTTTCTCCTTGAAGTAACGTAGTATCTTGCCGATATAAAGTATGTTCTTTGTCTGCCACATGTGGAAAATAGCTAATCAATCCTTAAATATTTTCTCTTTACTTCTTCGACTTCCAATGTTATATTGCAATACCATATTACATACATGTATACAACACAAAAAATTTATTACAGAGCACAATGTCGTTGTCGACAAAATCACAGTCTTTATAGTTAAAACATCCAAAATATGACGACATGTAGTTGGCATTCCAGATAGTATTATTACAGAAAACATTAAAATAGATACTAAATGACGAAACCTTTTTGGATTTATTTTAGAAAAACTCTAGTAAATTTGATCTAATTGTTTCAGATGATGATTTAAGTGCAAATCTTTTTACTGTAAAAATGTTGATCAAAATATATAAACCGTATATACAGGCTTCTTATATAATATAAAATCTGCTTTTACATTATAAGATTTATAAAGGAAATATGGTACTTATTTACGAAAATTGTTATATTTTTATTATGTTTTGTTATTTATTATCTTCTATAAAAATGTGTTTGTAAATTGCGGGTACATTTGATACTCATGACTTTAATAAAATATTATATTCTTATAATGTTGCTTTATTTATTTTTGACCACTCGGATCTGTTTTGAGGTGGATATGAGAGGTGCCATTCAACAAGGGAGAATATAAGTTTTTTATGGCAAAGGAAGAGTGTAAACAAAGCCAGCAATGGTTTGATGGTGAGTGCGCAAGAAATAGGAGGCAAGTAATGTCATATTTCAGAGTATCTAGAAAAATTGGTTCAACTTATGCAACGAATATATACAAGAACGTTAAACAGGAATACAAGCACTTTTGTGACTTAAAAAAGAAAGAATTTTATAAGAATGCTGTATTTAGTTTAAGAAATAAAAAAAATCAAAAGAATTTTGTAAGGCTGTTGGACTGCATAAGTTTGGAAGTTCGGCTATTGGGAAAGGCAGTAAACAGTTTACTGCAACATTTTGCAAGACATTCGAATACGGAGATAACAGCAGATGCTGTGTTGTATGCAGAACTTTATCCTGAATGAACATTTAGACTGGCCGTTTAGTATGGAAGAACTTCAAATAGCATTGGATTCTTTAAAATCAAATAAAGCACCAGGAGTGGTTAGAATCGCTGCTGAGTTCTACAAGTTTCTTCCAGAAAACGTAAAAGTGCTTGTACTTGGGCTTGCTAATAATTTTTTCGTTAAACCAGACTTTCCTCAGGGTTTTTATAATGCAATAATGTTTCCTCTTTATAAGAAAGAATGACTGTATGAAAGGAACAGTCATCAGACCAATACGCAGCAGAAACAAGACCTGACTAGCCATGGAAAATACAGTTACTTTGTAGTAATAGGTTCCATCGTTCCGGTGACATACAGGTAATAGGTTCCGGTAACCTATTACTTTTGTCACCTATTACCCAAGCTGCAAACAGCTCTATTCCGCTTGGCTTGCTATAGTTTTTTGTAGTAATCATAATATCTTTTTCAATAAACGAATACTTTCTACTATTTATAGTTTATTTTTGTTTCAACCATGAGTGATAAACATTCTTCATATGTTTGTTGGTTGATAAAAATAAACATTAAACATATTTATGCTACTATACTATAAATTATAAATCATATAAACATAGTCTGTCTTAATAATCGTACGTGCTTACGGTATTCCCAGCTATTTAAGTGGCAAAACATAAAGCTCATCATAAATTCAGTGACAATGACCATCCTATTCTGTTACCGATTGAACGAGATTCCCATCGTTCGATGTTGTCACGTCAACATATCGAATGCCGATTCGAATAACAACGTTATCGTTACACCACAGTATAAAGAGGTTCCAGTTACACTGTGACAAAAATAATAGTCAGTTTGCTGTAACCTATTATTGAGAAAACGAATACTTATTGGTAATAGTGTTATTTATCCGAATACGTTATATAATGTCCAACTTTAGACCTGACACAGAAAGCACAAAAAGGATGTTAGAAACAGCAGAGATGAAAACACTTAAAAAAATTGGTAGTAAATATACGACGTGGATGCAAAGTGGAGAACATCAAGAACAGGTTAAGAAATGGAAGAGTAGAATGGAATTATCATATAAGCCGAATGACAATAAATAGAGTATAAAAGACGGTTCCCCAATAGGAAGACCACGAAAATGATGGAACGACACTTACTGGAGGCACATTGCAAAAACAGACAGCCATTTCTATATAAAGAGAAGAAGAAAAAGATAAGAAAGGAAATATGGAAAGTGCAGAAAGTTATCGTGGTATTAGCTTCTTAAATGAAGTAACCAAACTCATTGCGGCATTGACTTCAACCAGACTTACCTCGTGGGTACAAAATAATAACATTTTAAATGAGTTCCAGGCAGGATATAGAACCGGCTATTCAACTATAGACAACATTTTTAATCTTATGAGTATAGTAAAAATCTAACATGCACGGGGCGTAAAAAATGTTTATAAAATTTTTTGTGGACATTAGTGGTGCTTTTGATACAGTTGATCGGCGGGCCTTTTTTACAAGTTGAGTCAGGATTATCTACTACAGTGCTAAATTTGTTAAAAAGTATGTTCGCGAAAACAAAATCGGCAGTTTGATCAAGGGAAGGTCTATCTGAATGGTTTGATTAATGTATGAGTGAGACAGGGATGTCTTTTAAGTCTATTACTGTTTGAGGTTTTCTTGAATGACCTTGAATTTTCTTGAGGCGGTTTGGAGATAAATGGTTTGATTATAAGACTTTTATTATAGGCAGATGATTTGATTTTAATGGCAATCAATCCAAAGGTGCTACAGCGGATAATTAATGAACAGGAAAAATACTGCAGGATGTAGAATCTAAAAATAAATTTTGATGAACCCAAAATTCTTGTATTCAGAAGAGGAGGTGGTGTGATTAGGGAATCTTGGAAACTGAATTATCGAGTATTAGCGGTAGTGAATAACTGTAATTATTTGGAAATGATATTAACACCCAAGTTGTCGTTTAAAGCTCATCTAAAAAACCGCCAGAGTTTGGCAAAAGTAGCGATTCACACGGCTTTGAGTATTTTAGTGTCTAAGGCTGATATACTCTTTTTGGCTAAAGTAACAGTATATGAGTTGAGGTGGTAAGATAAATTTTGACTTATGGGTCTCAGGTATATGGGGTCGTTTTGAGTACGATGATGTGGAAATAATCAGAAGATTTTATATATAAAAAATGTTTTCTTGTCCAAGGTATTCTTTCAACTTTATGTTAGATTTGGAGACAGGTATTGCTACAGTCAGTCTATATACGATGAATTTACATAAAAAATATGCTAAAAAAATACCGGGATATTCGGATGATGTACTGTCTGTATAACATGCAGACTGTCATTTGAAGTATATTGGTCAAACGAAAAGAACCCTTAAAGGGCGTGTTATATCCCACAAAAGTGATATCAGACGCAACAAGAACTCTTGTGCTCTCAGTACCCACTCTATCTCTCTTAACCACCAAATCGACTTTGAGAATATTAAATCTCTCGGAACTGAGAATAATTTCTATAAGAGATCCTTCCTAGAAATGTGTTACATATTAAGAGAAAAAAACTCCATGAACAGACGTACTGACATTGATAATTTCAGCATCATTTATCACTCCTTACAATGGAACAATAAATCTATATTAGCTAATATCAACAACGCGAATAATACAAATATTTATTACAATATGTTCAATTGTAACAACTCAATTATTATATTTTAAATATACGGGGAAAATTTTATGGGTTTAGTCATCGAGTTAATTCCGCTTTACATTTACGAGTACTCGGATCCGAGTAGCTCGGATTTGAGTTACGAGTGGAACTGCGATCGTTTACATTAAATCCGAGCGATCAGAGTAGTTTTAAAGAGAATTTAAAAATGGCGCCATCAAGAAAGAAACGAGCTGCTGTTTCATTAGTGTTATTAAACATTTTAAAGGAGAAAAATAACAACAAAAAATTAAGACAAAGAAAAGCATTTGGAAGAAACAACATTTACAAGAGATTTGTTAAAGTTAATGATTACCTAATTTAATCTAATTTAAAGCATTATTTCCTTTGATAATGTCCCGATACTCCTTTAGTTCCACATTCCATAAACATTCAAAAGAACGATAAAGATCGATAAATTAATCCATTTGATCTGCAGAAAATCGTAGTTCCGCCATTTTTAATTTTGAATTTTCACCACTTTGACGCTCACTCGTACAGGTACTCGTACTGCTACTCGGTTTGAGTTCAACTTCAATCCGAGCTCGGATTCGAGTGACAAGAGGCTCCGAGTAGACGTTTATTTTATACTTCCGAGTTGCACTCCGAGTAGAGCAGCTCGGATCCGAGTACTCGTAAATGTAAAGCGGACTTTAGAATCTGATGATCTAGGCAGTCATCGATTAGTATACACTTCCACTATTTGCAACAATTCTTCTTTTTTTACAGGAAGAAGTCTGCAATAGTAGTATATTTGAGCCATTAATACTGAGAAGTAGGAATTTTTGTGTTGTAGGTTTCCGACAATGAATCTGTCAAAATATGCCCGAGCCACAGAATAATAAATTGCTTATTATTCTGTGCCCGAGCTAAGCGCATCGAGCACAAAGACGGGCATATCCGGAAATGCAAAGGCGCTAAATTTAAATTTTCCAACACTTATTAACAATAGCTTAAAATATTTTTCAGACAAGAAAGTTTTAATTAAATATTAACGATAATAGTCTAAAAAGTGACACAATTGGTAAAAAACTTCAATATAAATAAAATTTCATGTGACAGTTGGGACAAACGGACAAACAATAACATAACCAAACTAAATTTGACTTCTTAAACAAGGAAAGAGACTGTCTATCCTTGTTTAAAGTGGCCTCTCAAGATAGCACTTCCTGTCTAACAATATTTTTGTCCCCACTACCTTTACATTCCCTCTTTTATCTTTTTGCTCGATGGCTAAGTGAATGGAGATTAATATTTTAGACTATTATCGTTATTAATTAATCAAAAATTTTATTGTATTCTAGTGTTAAAAAAAGTATTTTAAGTGTTTGGAACTATTTGTAATATCTAGTTTATATATCGTAGATCTAAGAATATATATAGTTTTTAAAATATAAAATATATTATAAAAACTGATCACCATGGTAAGCTGTATTGCTTGTGGCATTTCCCACAAAAAGAGAAATGAGATAACATCTTTTCATCGGTAAGTATTTGTTGAAATTAATTATTAAAATTAAAAATAAAAATTATTTGCTTGTTGACCAAAGTCACTATACTTCAAACCAGTGCGGCTGTCCCAAGTAGAAACACTGTAAGCGCCAATTCGAAAATTGTTCACCAGAGCAGGAAACGTGAAGGGCTCTGCTTTTCAAATTTCTATTTTGTTTAAAATAAAAGTGAATACACATTAATATAGCATAAAATACTCTTGTTTTTTAGCAAATATTTTTATGTCTGTATTTTATGCCCTGACTAGGTTTTGAACACATACAGTGTTTTTTATTTGGGAAACCTAAAAATATAAAATAAAATATCCCAATTTGCAATGATACTAAGTACTAAAAATTATACTTTATTCACGTTAATTTAACAAATATAGGTATAATTGGTTTAAAAACATTTTAATGGTCATTGTCCTCTAATTGCTGCAATCCACGGTTATGGAGGAGATCGTCCACTGCTGTCTCAGCGACCGACAAATTAAGCCAAAAGGATCTTCTGTTCTCGGGCATCAAAGGAATAAGTTTCTGTATTATTTCATCTTTTTTGCTTTTACGAATACCTCGTACGTTGGTGCTTTGTGGAAAATTTGACACCACGAACCTGACTTGCAGGAAATCAAGCTCCTGATAGTTTTCATCTTCGAAGTTGGTTTTGAATTGAAGGGATCTAGAGCCTCGTGAAAAGTTAGCTTCTACTATGGGATTTATTAAAAATGTTTTCAAAGGATCATTTTCATCTCCCTTTCGATGCTGCCGTTTCTTTTTTAGCCATTGGAATGAAGTTTGTACTTGAAGTACATTTAAATTTTTTCGTGATTGTCTTATAACAGACAATAAGTCTTGAAAGTCAAATACATCTCGTGCTTTTTTAATTTGTTGCTCAATGCTGCCATGAACACCATCTGCAGTCATGTGTGTATGACCTTTGGTAAGATACTTGAATGTTATGTTGTTTACATGAGAGGTATGGGTATCATTATTTACCATAATCGCTAATGCAGTAAACAAATACCAGTTTTTATTTTGGGCAGTGCAATTATCTGCCCAAAAAACAAAATTGTTCGTATCACGCTCTTCTTTAATTAAAGCGTATATTGCATCGATGATGTTAGATGCGTCACGACCGCCAAATGCTTCATGCCAAACCACTGAATAGTTGGAATTTGATTTCTTTTTAAAGAAGCGAAGACTTCATTAAAAACAACTAAACGACTTGTAAAAAAGACATCTTTGTTTCCTGGCATAACTGGTAACAATAATACCTACTTTTTGCAAGTCAAAAGAAAAATACTTAGTTTTATTAGTTTCTGGTAATTCTGCATCAATTTTGTAATATCTATTAACATCATCTGCTTTCTTTTTGTGTGCCTCCCATTGAGTTTTTTCGGTAGAAGATTCGATCGAGTTTTCTGTGCCTGTGCTGCTTGCTTCTACAAAATTTTTGTACTCTAAACAATCAGAGCATGAATCCATTTGGGGCATGTGTAAAGATATTTTCATTGTCTTCATCATTTTTCTGTAAGTTTCAATTTGACATATACCTGGGTGCTTTAATTTGAAGTCATTAAACATTGAAGCAACTGTTAAATTTGAAGGCAAATATCTAGTGAAAGGAGCATTTTTGCGGCGGTAATGACTCACGCAGGGATTATAAGAGTTTATATGGTTTACTATTATGTCCCTGTTACGGATGTTACTGGATTTCTTACCTCGATTTTCCTTTACATATGCGTTAAGCGGCTCCTTTTTGATAGCATATGCTAATTCATTGATAACCGAATCACTGGTATAACCAAATGTATTGAGTAAAAATAGCTTGCATACTGGCAGAAATTCGGTGTTATCCTTCTTAGCTAAATAAAATACCCTTGTTTCATTTTTCTTATACACATTATTAGCAGCTGCTGGAACTCTTCTACGGAAAACAGGTCTGAATGAAACACATTTTGCAAGCCAGATCCTTCGAGTTGTGTAATCTGCATCCCAATATGCATTCCAAATATCTGCTCGACATTCTTCGCTGAATTGAGAGCAAGACTTCTTACACTTCGCAGTGCATCTAGGCAAAATGGGATGTTTATTTTTGTTATCTATACTTTTTTCTATAGCTGAAATTTGTCTCCTTTTCTTAGTGACTTTTCGTTCCGTAGGTATGCTTTGGCGTTCAGTAGGTATGCTTTCAGATGTCGAATCTGGATGATCACTCACGTTTCCAGGATTCGAGTCAGGTTGGTAATGTGGGTCGGTAATGCTATCATCACTATCCCCTTCTGAAGATGAAACCTCCAAATCACGTCTAAGCATTTCATCAATCTCTTGAGGGTAACCATTATTGCTATCAGCTTTGGTATAAATCGATTGCTCCTCCCTAAAACCAAAACAATAATGAGAATAAAGTTTTGAATATATTATGATATGTAGTTTTATGTTAGTTTTATTTTTAGTTTTATTTATGATGCTTCATTCTGAAGCTGCCACAGGCAGATAAACTGATCGAATGATCTCCAAGAAGCAAAAGAAGAAGAAGAATAATAAGTTCTATATTATCTATAAAAAAATCGTTTACCTTTGAGTATCATTTGTGGATGATTCTCCCCAGTCATTGTTGTCCAGATTTCGACTCATATCTAGTATTAACTGAGTTAATTTTGATGATATCGACAGTATTGAGTTTTGGCAAATGTAAACTCTATGATTCCCACGGTAAATCGCTGTAAATCCCAAAACTACATAAAAACACTGTATATCCCGTATATACAGTGTTTATACTTGGGAATATGGATATAATGTGTTTTAAATTGGTAAAATGAAGTTGGAATGTGATATACAGTGTTTCATAGCAACCATAAATTGTGGTTCTGCAAATTTTTTTATTTTTTTTTTCTTCGTCAAATGGTAGATAATATCACCCCATATCCAAAAATGCAATAAAAGCTATTTAAAAAAAAAATGGATATACAGTGTTTCTACTTGGGGCAGCTGAGTGGCGTAACGAAAAGTTCTGTTATTAACTGTATCTTAGGTGTGAACTAGAAAATTTCATTTTTTGTTGACTTTGACTAATACTCATTAGTTATATATATATATATATATATAATATATATATATATATATATATATATATATATATATATAACACTGTTTTTGATGGGTTGGAGTCAATAAAAGGGGCTATTTGTTGACTATTTTTTACTCGAGCTTTCAATTGTGATTACAATTTTTATCAAGAGCTTCTAAAAAATACAAAATGTCTTACAAAGTTGAACTAGAAATAAAAAATTTTTTGTTAACTCACCAAATAAAATTAGTTTTTTATATAAAACTACTGCTTACATAATAAATACAAAAAATATTAATAAAAAAAATGTCTTATTCTAACAAATGTTTCTCTGAAAAATTTAGATGAATTTTCTTAAGAAAAAAATTGAAATTATAAACAAATATAGAATAGCTACAACCAGCCTAAAACGTCATAAATACTAACTTAAAAATTCTTATTTTTGACATATTGTCAAAAATAAAATTTTGTTTAAAAAATTCTTCTTTGTTTAGTAACAAAAAAGAAGAAGATTTATTCACCATTGATAGATGCCCGGAAAAATGTAACAAATAAATGGAAAATTCAAAATGTGATATTTTACTGACTGCATAAATTAAATAGAAATTATATAATTATAAATTTTGCTTAAATTTTGAATTTCTGACCTTTTGTTTAAATTATTATCACTTTTGCTAATACAAACCATTTCCAAAAAAGTTCTTTTAAATTTATTACTTTCATTACATAAAATTTTAATATTATCAAAATCCATAATATGGTCTTTTAATATTATCAAAATCCATAATATGGATTTTGATAATATTAAAATTTTATGTAATGAAAGTAATAAATTTAAAAGAACTTTTTTGGAAATGGTTTGTATTAGCAAAAGTGATAATAATTTAAACAAAAGGTCAGAAATTCAAAATTTAAGCAAAATTTATAATTATATAATTTCTATTTAATTTATGCAGTCAGTAAAATATCACATTTTGAATTTTCCATTTATTTGTTACATTTTTCCGGGCATCTATCAATGGTGAATAAATCTTCTTCTTTTTTGTTACTAAACAAAGAAGAATTTTTTAAACAAAATTTTATTTTTGACAATATGTCAAAAATAAGAATTTTTAAGTTAGTATTTATGACGTTTTAGGCTGGTTGTAGCTATTCTATATTTGTTTATAATTTCAATTTTTTTCTTAAGAAAATTCATCTAAATTTTTCAGAGAAACATTTGTTAGAATAAGACATTTTTTTTATTAATATTTTTTGTATTTATTATGTAAGCAGTAGTTTTATATAAAAAACTAATTTTATTTGGTGAGTTAACAAAAAATTTTTTATTTCTAGTTCAACTTTGTAAGACATTTTGTATTTTTTAGAAGCTCTTGATAAAAATTGTAATCACAATTGAAAGCTCGAGTAAAAAATAGTCAACAAATAGCCCCTTTTATTGACTCCAACCCATCAAAAACAGTGTTATATTTTTTCCAAACGAGTCACAATGTAGTCTCAGCAATTGGTCTGTATGAAATGAAACTCTATTTGTTATTTCTCAATATTTCGTCACGATTATATGTAAACAAAATGTGATAAATATATATATATATATATATATATATATATATATATATATATATATATATATATATATATATATATATAATCTTGTACCTACTATATTTAGGTTTCCCAAGAATGAAGCTCAAAGGAGAATGTGGGTTAATTTTGTTGGAAAAACGGAGATCAAAAAATTTTCATATTTATGCTCAAATCATTTTACAGAGGAGGATTTTGACATGTCATCTTCAAAATCAAAGTTGAAGCCTGGTGCCATTCCTAGTAAAATTATTGTTAGACAAAGATATGTAAGTTTATTTGCAATATGTTTATTTTAATTTTGTCCACAGGTTTATTAAGAATATAAAATATAGAGGTGTGCTTATTACTTCTTTTAGACGAACTAGTTCAAGAGAACTATTTCACAAAAATGAACTAGTTCGCAAAAGAACTATTTGTAGGACCAAAATCGAAATCCAACCCTAACATAACTGGTTGCCAGATATCTCATCTCAATCATCACACAAGCTCGGCGCCGGCCGCCCGTTTTCTTCGGTTTTCAGTCAGTCTTTCACTAGTTCACTACCATACAAGTAGTTCGGAACTATTTCTTTCGATCATATGTTTAGGTTTAAATGATTTAAATTATTATATGATTAGTTAGTTTTTATTTGCAAAATATTATTAAGATTTGTTTTTTATTAACTGTTTTAAATATAAATATGGTTCACATATGATTTATTTTTATATTTACGTATATTTAAACTCATAGGTATTTATAATTAAATTATTTCTAAAAGAACCTTTACAAAAAAAAATCAGTGAATTTTCTAGGAACATTAAATAACACATTTTCATTCTCACTTTTACATAAAATTATATTTTATGTAAATGCCTGAATCCACAACTAAACTACTAACTTTTAACCAACTAACTTTAACCACAACTAAAATTTTTATTTCAAAATTACAATACAAGAAACAACACAGCATGGCAACATCCAAGCCAATACATGGGCATAAGATCAGAACCATTATGACATTAAGATAAGACTTTATGTTATTGTCACATTCATAAGAATTATGAATCTGTTATCTGAGGCTAATCAGCTTTTTTTTAAACTAGTTAGTGCATCCATTCACAAAATAATAAATATATGTTCTCATTTGTTCATTCATTATTTTCTTCTTTAGAAGTTGAGACACAATTTATAATGCAAATCGTTTGCAGTGAACTAGTTCTATGCAAATTAATGAACTAGTTCAATTAGTTCAGTTGAAAGAATCGTTCATTTGAACTATTTCGATGGTGAACTACTTGTCTTATTGCTCGATGTTGGTAACACACTATCTTCCAAATACTTTTGGACTTCCACTATAGCTGGTGAGTGGTGACCCGGCATTTGAAAATACACTGTCTGACTGTCCAGATAAATTTTCAGTTAGGCAGTCCCAAATGGATAGATCAGGTGAATTTAATTGGTTACTTTAATTATATGAAATTGTAGTTGATTTTACAGATTGTTGTTTACTTGTAATATCACTGGTAACCAAGTCTGTCTCTATATTTTTTACCTTTTCTATGGCATCAGCGTTCTTAAAAGCAAATGTTTTAAATCACTGGTCCAAAATGGTGCACAATGCCAATGTGTTACTATATTCAACATTTCCTCATCTACTCCTCAAACCTTCTTGAAGACTTTGCAAAACACTTTTCAAAAGTACATTATAGTTTTCTAATTGTAACTTTCCACACACATTAAGTAATCCTCGAGTAAGAATAATCACCACCAAGGCAGAAATGTATGATTCCCCACTCATTAAAGTTGTTGCTTCTTCAAAGTGACACAAAATTGCACACAACTGCTTGATTATTTGCTATTATTGTCTTAAAATTGGCAAGTTTTCATTTACAATTGCTCAAAAACAATTTTGTAATTCAACAAATCTGATAACAAAATATGTTGAGTTCCATCTAGTAGAAACATCTTGTATTAATTTTTTGGGCTGTTTAATATCAGATTGTATTTGATCTGATATTGAATAAGTTTGGAACTAGACAGCGAGCTTCTTTTAAAATGAGACGATTGTCTTTACTTTAGAAATCTATGGCTCAACGATTTTTAAGTAATTTTGAAGGATTAAGTTTATTGTATGTGGGACACAACCTAAATGTTTCCAATTTAATTGTTCGGGGATTGCATTTATGATGTTACTTGCATTGCCCGACACAGTTAATATTATTTTATTGTTTAAACCCCAAGTATTAACTATGTCTTTCAGTCTTTCACTTTGTGCTAATTTGAGCGCTGTATGCTGTATGATTAATATCTAAAATTTGACAACTTAAAAGTAACCACTTCACAATAAATGTTTCATAATGAGCTGTTATTGCCAATATACTATCATTATTTGCAGAGGTCCAGCAATCTGTTGTTAAACAAACACTCATAACGCTACCGATATTTTTCTTGCTTTCTTCCAATACTTTTTCATATTCTGCTGGAATATAACTTTTAGAAATAGTATGCCTTGTCGGTAAAGCGTATCGTATGAGAGATTTAATGCAAAAATAAATTTTCGAAAACCCGAGTCCAAATAGTTGATAATCATAGATAAATAAGGACGATTTTCGAATTGAAGATAGCTGTTATATGCTTCAAATACAAATAAAAAACAATTTTGCCACACACTGAACTGTCAAAAAATTTGAAGTATTACGGTATCAGTTGCGTACAATTGTCTAATAAAACCCCCTCTGTGGCTCAGTGGTAAGAGCGCCTACCTTTAAACCTAAAGGTCGTAAGTTTGAATCTCACCTGGGTGGAGAAATTTTCGTTTATTAAAAATTAAAGAATAAAAATAATTTCTATCCTTGTGCGATCGGTACTCACCGGAGGGCCGCAGACGTTCGGATACAATTAGCGTCTCTTAGCAAAGACAATGACGTCGACTTTGCTAAGTATCAAGACAATTACTCTACACACACACGCGCACACACACACACACGCACACACACGCACACACACACTACACTAGGTACCTGACTGTATCATGCCAATGATCATTAGTTGTCGAGGCATTAACTCAATAAAAAAAATTGTTATTTTGTGGAATATTAGACTTAAATTATTTCATAAAATTTATATTATTAATAATAACAAATGTTTTTGGTTAGTTAATCAATATATCAATCGTCCCGGAAGCGCAACTCAACAATATTGGCAATATCGTTTTAAAGTCGTCAACTTTAAAATGTATAATGTATGTCTGAATATAAATGAGGCAGATAAAATTTAATTATTAGAAGAATTTTTTCACCAAGTTACAAAAAACAATATTTGTTTAATATACTAATGTTTGTGTTTTGAGAACGATATCCGAAGTAAAAAATTGAAACGCCAATAAACGTATTTTAACCTTTAATTGTGGCTTATTCCCATTTAAATATTAATTAATCAATATAATTCTAAAATTTTCAATATAATGATGATTACATTTTTATGATTATTATACCATGTTGAGGCATATGAAAGATCGAGCAGTTCAGTATGGATGTCATATTATTAGCTGTGTTAGGAAAATTTGAAGGTTGATGTTCTGGAAATTTTAAACATAAAGAACGTCACTTTATATAAATTGCATTTTGGGAACAACAAATGAATGTCTCTCAGCAACAAATTAACGAATTTGACTTTACAAAATTTCATTCGATGGGGAATCAAAAGAGCTTCATTTTAAAGTTTAAAACGTTAAAGAAAATCATTTTTGAAATAAATATTCCAATTTGAAAAAACAGTGATTTTCGTCTTTGAAGGCTAATTATGCATAAACTATTGGACCAAATTGAACTCACAAAAGCTTAAATGGAAGGTAAAAAAATAAGGAATAATATGCTATAAGCAGTTTTGCTTCAAAATAATTACCTTAAATGATATATTAAAAAAAGGAAAAATATACGAAGTTTTTCACTGTTTTTCGTCCATAAAAAAATAACCAAAAATTTTTGGTCGCTTTTACATAAAAATTACTCAGGAACGTCCTCCCTACAACGCCCAACTGCTACAATTAATTATGACAAAAACTGTCCCTTTCTTTACCCACAGCCTGGACGGCCTGGACACATTAGAATCTGGATTCTAACTCGATGTCCGCTCTCGGATGCCTCCTTTGAAGTTTTTCAGCACGCGCGCCTTGTTTTAGAAGGAAACATAACACAGACATATGATTTGTGAGGTTATGTAATTGTTTATATTTATGTTTAATTATATTATATTTATGTTATTATATTTAACAATGTTAATATAATTGTATAGTATGTCTATGATTGCCGTAAGTCAATTAAACCGGGTTAATTTTTCTATGTACACCATATAAACAACACTGGTTCCCTCTAAAACATGGCGGAACGTCTGCGCGTACTTAAGGTCGATTCAGACCATCGAGCAAAAAGACAAAAGAGGGAATCTAATCCTTATGAAAAGGAGACCAAAAAAGTGGCCTCTGATGGCGGACATATCCGGAAATGCGAATGCGCCAAATTTAAATTTTCCGACACTTATCAACAGTAGCTATATAATATTTTTCAGAATGTGTCTTAGACGAGAAAGTTTTAATTAAGTATTAACGATAATAGTCTAAAATGCGACACAATTGTTAAAAAACTTCAATATAAATAAGATTTCATGTGACATTTGGGCATCGAGCAAAAAGACAAAAAAAGGAATGTAAAGGTAGTGGGGGCAAACATATTGTTAGACAGGAAGTGCGATTTTTAGAGGCCACATTAAACAATGAAAGAGAGTCTCTCTCCTCGTTTGACATTAAATTTAGTTGGGTTATGTTATTGTTTGTCTCAAATGTCACATGAAATCTTATTTATATTGAAGTTTTTTAACAATTGTGTCGCATTTTAGACTCTTATCATTAATAATTAATTAAAACTTTCTCGTCTAAGACACATTCTGAAAAATATTATATAGCTACTGTTGATAAGTGTCGGAAAATTTAAATTTGGCGCATTCGCATTTCCGGATATGTCTGCCATCAGAGGCCACTTTTTTGGTCTCCTTTTCATAAGGATTAGATTCCCTCTTTTGTCTTATTGCTCGATGCTTTCCTTGTTTAAAGTGGCCTCTCAAAATAGCACTTCCGTCTATCAATATGTTTGCCCCCACTACCTTTACATTCCCTCTTTTGTCTTATTGCTCGATGCTCGACGCCGAACCAGTCCTGTTTGGTCACAGAACTATCAACTATCTGACAGCTGGGAAACTGCTCGTCGCCTGATGAATGTGAATGCCGGCGCCATATTTCTATTAAAGAATATTTTGTATGACGGATTGTCCGGTTCGGCGCCAGGACTGTGACGAGACGTGACTGATGTGTCTGAATCGACCTTAAATTTTCCATGGAGAGTGGGCATTCTGATTGTTTATTATTCTGTTGCCTGGACCATAGAGAAATAAATTTTTATTTCTCTATGGCCTGGACCAATGACGTATAATATATAGACCCGGTGAACGCTTTAAAAAGTGTCCAAAACATGAATACCTTTGTTATTGTTTATTGTTTTGATACGAAGATGCACGAAGTTCATGTTTTCTTACGAAGCCACCGAACAACGGTGACGAAGCATCACGAAGTTGATCTTGTGTTTGAAAACATCATGGACGTATGAAAACATTTTCTCCACTTTGTGTGTTTACATATTTTATGTGACAAGCAAATTTTATTTTAAATTGTTGAGGGTTATTTACTTACTATTTTAGTAAAATGCCATACTATTTTATCAAAATAATTATTTCTCTTATAGACGGGAACAAAAAGAAATCATAAATATTTAATTTTAATTAAAAAAATAATTATTGTCATTAACATTTAAATGAGCACGCCGCTGTTCTGGTAAACATACCTTCAACCTTGAGCAGAGATCTTTCGGACACTCGATTATATAGCGAGAATAGGGGACCGCTTAGTCTACCTATTATACGTCATTGGTCTGGACTAACTATACTCTGCACGTCACATGTGTTTTGTTTTGTTGGTTGCAGTATGGTGTTTTATTTTGATTTTGTAATTTTGTACAATATTATTTTTTTTACTTGAAAGTCTTTTGTGTGTAATGCACGGTATTTTTACTTTTACACTTTTAGATTAGAAGCATTAGAAGTAAAATGAATAAAAGTGGAAAACGACGTAGTGGACACATATATGCCGTTAAAAATTCATTAGACCACACTTACTGTGCATTTACAGTAAAGGAAAAGTTTGGTAAGCACATATAGTTAATTTTTTTTAATCCTATTTTTTACATTTTATTTTTATATAAGTACCTAAGACACTTTATATATGATTCCTATTTAATTTTCTCCAGATATTGAAGTTAATGAAGACTTACTATCCACACAACCTTCTACATCAAAAATTATCAATCCAGAATGTACTATTATTGTAAGAGAGGGTAATATATTTTTATCTACATATATATTTGGAATTTATGAACAGTAATTATTGTTGATAAATTATTTGTTTTCTGGTTGTCATTTATATTTGTGTGTGTGATTTTGTGCATTATTGGCTTCGGAGACTCTGTCCATTCGCCATCTTACCTTTATATTTTTTATTCGGAAGCAATAAAGGAGTGCTCCTTGCTTTCTTCTCGTTTGCTATACAATCATAGTCCTGCTCTAATTTTACAAAGAATTATTTCCTATATATCTAATTTTACAATTATACCTTAGACTTGTATTACTCTTATAACATATATTCAGCTTGTTTTGAATTATTTACTTTTGTTGTGTGTGTGTGTGTGTGTGTGTGTGTTTTTTTATACATACATTTATACATATATACATACATATAATTATTGTTTTTTCTCATCTTTTTATCTTATATAATTTGGGATATTAGACATTAGGATACAATTTGACGCTCAGGGGTCGATCAGAGCATTTAGACGAGACAGGTGGACCTCGGCTTTGCACAAAGGGAAAAAAACATAGGTTATAAACTTAATCTAATACATAAAATATGTTTATACAAAATTTGATAAATATTACAATCTTCTGAACTTAATAATTGGGTTAGGTTATATGGTTGGATGATTTTGGGTATTTTGGTTATTTCTTCATTTAATGTCATTTATATTTAATAATATTTGAAATAATTGTATTGTCCATCCTGTTTCCATTGGCAGTAATGCATTGGTTAGTAATCAGTCTTGGGAGACTTAGACCTCAGGAACCCTAAAGAATACATCAAAGAGGATGTTGAAAGCTTGACGCAATGATAATTGATGCAGTTCAACCTGAAAGGCTATTGAATTTAATATTAATTCTTGTATTAGTATTAATCTTAGCTCTAGGTTTAATTGTACTAACCGCAGATATCTTTCGAAACATGGAAAGGACCATGTTAACTTGGCAAAGGATCGCTACAAGAGCAATGCAACCAATTTGTGGCAATAATGTTAGAAGACTCTAAGGTTTCCAGGGCAACAAATAAGACATCCACGAAGGAAGCTAAGCTACTTGAGGAAAAGAATACCAAATGTTTAGAACATTTGTGTTTCTCAACTGATCTATTTTTGGATGTGTTTACAATTTATAGTCTTTACGAAATAAGTTGAGGAGGTGAGAACTGTTTGTCTCTAGTTAGTCATTCAGAATTATGTTTGGGTTTTTTAACTTGTTAATTTCCATAGATTCTAATAAAGATAGCTTAAGACCTTTATTTTGAATGTGAAGAATTGGAAATTCATCATTAAAAGAATTAAGCTGAAGTGCATATGTAGAATCTGTTTTCCTATTATTGAAAGCCCTTTTATATTCAGCCATATGTTTGTTAAAGGTTCTACCAGTCTGACCGATGTAAGTTTTTGGACAGTCACCACATTTAAGTTTGTTTACACCACTGTGTAAGTGTTTTTTCTTTTGGCTCCTGTTGTTCTTAATACATTTGCTTAAGTTGTTTGTTCTAAGAGCTGGTGTTATTCCTTTCTTTTTTATGTGTTTTTATTCTAGTGTACCGGCACATGTGTGTGCCGGTATACTAGAATTTAACAGGATATCTAACACAGATATAAAATCATATTTTCAGCGCATAGTCAAAGATAACAATCATATTTCCCCTTGGTCTCCCCTCCACATTTCTCATAGACGCCCGTTAGTGAGACGATTATTTCCGATCCAGCTTATACCTAAGAAACTAGAGGTGGATTGTTGACATTTCTATCGTTTACGAAACTGACCGAAAGAAACTAATGAAGGATGTATTTATTATAACTTGAAAAATAAATTAAACAATACAAATAGTAAATAGTACATACTTACATTTACAGTACACATTATTATTAAATCGCGAATCGCCTAAGTTCTTTAACTTTTATTAGAGACAAAGTATTAGTTAATACAGACTTGCCAAATCTATATAATGAAGACTGGATTATTTGTTCTTAACTTTCCCAAATTTTATGGCCTTTTAAAGAAATATCAAGTACAATGAGTGGCCAAAAATACTTGAAGGGTAGTTTAGTGAATGTTATGGTAAGCTGTCTACAATAATCTTGCAATACAATTTTAGAAAATGGTAACCTTACAGTTAAGCAAAAAGATTTTCTTCTTCTTCTAGTTCCATGACCGTTATCGATCGTTGGATATCATGTTGGCTACCATATTCGCTATCGTGACTTTATTGACAGCAGCTCTAAATAACGATGTAGTTGATTTTCCATACCATTGCCTTAGATTTTTCAGCCATGATGTTCTTCGTCTACCAGGACCACGATTACCTTGGATCTTTTCCTGAATGATCAGATGTAAAAGATCATATTTTCAGGGTGTCTCATAATGTGACTGAAGTTCTCCAGCTTGCGTTTCTTTATTATATCGACCAGTTGTTTTGTTTGGCTCAGCCGTCCAAGGACCTCCTCATTTCTAACTCTGTCGACCCAGCTTATTTTCAGTAGTCGTCTGTATACCCACATCTCAAAGGCTGTCAAGCGTTTAAGCATAGCCTCAGAGTCCACGCTTCCACTCCATAAAGCAGGACAGGAAGGATGTAGCATGATGTCATACGAACTCGTAAGGTCAATGCTAAGATCGTGACTCGTTTACGAAGTACGTTTCTCATTTTTACAAAGGCAGCTCGGGCGTGTTTTATTCGGCTTTTAATTTCTTCGGTTGGATCCCAGCTCTCATTGATATTACCGCCGAGATACACGAGTTTCTCTACTCTGTCCAGTGTGGCATCTCCGACTTTTATACCGTCATCCTGTATATAATTTTGTTTGCTAACTATCATATATTTAGTTTTCTTAACCTTGAGTTTTAATCCATACTGATCACAAGTCTGTTTTATTTTGTTCATTAGATTTTGAAGGTCTTCTCCGCAATTGGCAAGGACTAAGGTATCGTCGGCATATCTAATATTGTTGACGGTTACTCCATTCACAATAATACCTTCGGTTGTCTCCATTAAGGCTTCCTTAAATATTTCCTCCGAATATAAGTTAAAAAGTAAAGGCGACAATATGCAGCCTTGTCTCACTCCTCTTTTTATATTTATTTCATCCGACAGTTATTGTTCAACCTTTATTCTTGCCACTTGATGCCAGTATAGATGTGTAATTATTTGTAGATCTTTATCGTCCAATCCAGCTGTTTCCAATATTTCTAGCATTTTGTTATATCGGAGTTTGTCAAAAGCTTTTTTAAAATCGATTGCACAAATATACACATTTTGATTTATATCTCTGCATCTCTGTACTAGCACCTGTATACTAAACAAGGCTTCTCTTGTTCAAAAAGATTTAGAGGGATAGAATAGAGTGGCACATTGTCATTATGTACATTTATGATTCACGATTTAAAGTGCAGGGATTTTCTGATAAAAATGAAGCTAAAAAGACAAAAGAAAAAGTTAAGAAGCTGGTTACTTCTATAATTAAAGAAAAAGAAGATTGTACTATTGAAAATCAACCAGTACAAGAAAAAGAAACCGATAAAGATGACTTACGTCCATGGTGCATTTTTATCAATTAATTGGACATAACTCATCTCAACGTACACTTGACAACGTATTGAGAGCTATAAAAGAAGTCAACCTGTATTTGTCTGATGATATATTACCCAGAAAAAATTCAAACAGAGATTGAAACTGTCCATTACAGTGGTGGAAAAACCATCGCCATGTATATACTAACTTAACCACTATATTCATAAAATATTGTAAAAACAGTAAGCTGCCATTTAAATCAATTCGCCCAAATTTGATTATTTTAGAACATTGTTCAAATGCTAAAAAGACAACAGGTCAAATAAAACCAATAAGTTTGACAACGTTGAACTTCCGCTCTTTTATTATTTCCACTAATGCAATTTCGCCGATATAAAGGGCGGACCTAATATACCTCTCTCTTTTTAAACAGGTGTATCTCACTCCATCTCACGTAAGGTCCATACCGGCCATAAACTTTTTACCTACACTGTATATATGTATATAACATTTTAATCTTAAGTAATTTTTTCATAACCGACTTTGAGTTACTTAAAGAAATATAATCAAGTGAATCAAGTAATTGCTTGTTGTATCTACCTCTTTTCAGCTAATTGCTATTTCACATTTCGTAGACATGATGTCGGAGTATATTCCTAGAAATTAAGGCATTTTTAATGATAGTGGGTACTGTCTTGCACAATTTATAGTTCTTAACTTCTGTATTGAGTGATTTTAAGATCACCCATTCATTTATAAGAATATCAAACTATAATTTAAGTATTTAATTTATTCATCAAAATCAACTTAAACCCAAACAAAATTAGTATGATTGAATCAATACCTTTCAAACGAGATGTCATTTGCCATAAGGTCCTATTTAAAATTATCATTCACAGTGGCTCTGTAATGTCACCTGATGACTGGTTGAGAAGAATACCTATTTACTAGAATTTAACCCATTTATGCCCAACGGGTCGTTAACGACCCAACTAACAAAAATATGTTCCAAATAAATATGTCGAATTTACCAGTCGCCGTATGTTTACAAGTTCATTCCTGACTATGCAAGTAAGCAGTTTATTTAGTGCAAAACCGTTTATTTCGCTCATAAAAGTATTTTAGTGCTCTTAAAATAGAACTTGAATAACGTTCACAGCATGGCTTCATTCAAACATTTGTAAGTACATTTAAATAAATTATTTGATTATTTAAATTCATTTTATATAGTTAAACACAAGTTGTGTTAACACATTATAATATTACTAGTATGAAAATAATTTGATATATGTCATAAATATAATATTATATTTTGATGGGTCGTTAACGACCCGTTGGGAATATGACATATAATGGGAAAATGTTTTTTTAGTAAGAAACCATTATCTACGGCAGAAATTCTGGAGGAAATAGAAAAAATTGAAAACAGTGAGACTATACCGGATGATATATATATATATATATATATATATATATATATATATATATATATATATATATATATATATATAGATATATATATATATATAGATATATATATATATAGATATATATATATATAGATATATAATATATATATATATATATATATAATATATATATATATATATAATAATATATATATATATAGATATATATATATATATATATATATATATATATATATATATAATATATATATATAACACTGTTTTTGATGGGTTGGAGTCAATAAAAGGGGCTATTTGTTGACTATTTTTTACTCGAGCTTTCAATTGTGATTACAATTTTTATCAAGAGCTTCTAAAAAATACAAAATGTCTTACAAAGTTTAACTAGAAAGATAAAAAATACAAAAATCTTTGTAAGACATTTTGTATTTTTTAGAAGCTCTTGATAAAAATTGTAATCACAATTGAAAGCTCGAGTAAAAAATAGTCAACAAAGAGCCCCTTTTATTGACTCCAACCCGTCAAAAACAGTGTTATATTTTTTCCAAACGAGTCACAAGTACTTCTTTTTTTCTTACTCTTATATATATATATATATATATATATATATATATATATATATATATATATATTGCCTCCAGATAATAATGGCTGGTTAACCGATTCGGATTCTGGAGACGAGGAATGTAATGATCCGGATAGACTAAATAGAGGTCAATTAAATGCCTGCGCTGAAGTACAATTTCAGCGTGATGAGGAAAACATAGAAAATGAAGTTCTTCAAGAAGTATCTGATTTTACAGTACAACATCGAACAAAGAAACTAAAAAAGACGCCCCGAAAATGGTCGAACATGATAAATTTACCAACATTACGTGCGGATTCCGATCTATAGAGATTACCAGTTTTGACACTTACTTCTGAAAGTAATCCAGTTGAATTTTTTGAATTGTTCATGAGCAGAGAAATAATAGAGTATTTAATTAAAGAAACAACAAATTATGCTGCCTCGAAAAATCAAAATATTACAATAGACATTGACGAATTTTATGTATTCTTGGGAATTTTAATTTTAAGTGGTTACGTTCCATTACCAAGGCGAAGAATGTATTGGGAAAACTCAGATGATACACATAATATTTTAGTAACGAAATCTATGAGACGCAATAGATTTGAAGAGATATTTAGATTTTTTCACGCTGCAGACAACAATCACCTTGCTGAAAATGATAAATTGGCCAAGATTAGACCTTTCATCGAAAAATTAAATACAAAGTTTTTAACGTTTGCACCCATTGAAAATCAAATTTCTATCGACGAATCTATGATTCCTTACTTTGGTCGTAATGGGTGCAAACAATTTATTCGCGGCAAACCAATAAGATTTGGCTATAAAGCATGGGTAATGGCTTTATCAAATGGATATTGCCTAAATTTTGACATATATCAAGGCCGAAAATTAACAACTGGTGCTGATAAAAATTGTGGATTAGGAGAAAGTGTGGTGTTGACTTTTGCAGAGATTTTGCGAAATACATATAAAAATATAAAATTTTCCTTCTATTTTGATAACTTTTTTACAAGTATGTCTTTGATATCATCAATTGCAGAAATGGGGTTTAGTGCCACTGGAACTGTACGCGAAAACAGAACAGAAAAGTGTCCTTTAGAAGATAAGAAAAGTATGATGAAACAACCAAGAGGATATTATTGTAGCTCTTTTGATGACAGCAGTAAAATTGCGGCTGTAAAATGGAAAGATAATAATGTTGTCACTATGTTATCTAATGAGCATGGAACTGAGCCAATCCAAAAAGCAAGCCGATATTCAGCAAAAGAAAAATTAGAAATTCAAATAGATCAACCATTTGTAATTTCGCAATACAACAAATTTATGGGCGGAGTCGACTTGATGGACAATAACATTTCAAACTATAGAATAAAAATACGTGGAAAAAATGGTACTTTCCAATATGGATATGGATGCTGGATGTTTGTGTAACTAATGCTTGGACACTAGCACGACAATTTGGATATAAAAATGACAACTTAGAATTTAGAAGACATATAGTTCGTACATTATTGTCTAATTATGGAAAGTCAGCCCGTTCTACTGGACCTCAAAATATTGCAATAATCCGTCCACATCAACACAACGTCTAATTATTACTGGTGCTCAAAGAAGAAGATGTCGTGTATGTTCAAATAAAACTACAAAAGCCTGCGATAGATGTGAAATTCCACTCCATGATAAATGCTTCAAAGATTATAATACAAACTATTTTAAGCTTTAAGTAATATAATTAAACTATGCCTGCTTCATAGTTTTCATTTTAGGGAGTAAATGTTTAATTTGTTAGGAGAAAGTAAAATAAAATGTACATAATTTCATAAAAGTTATTATTTTTATTTTGTACCCCTATGTGCCCAACGGGTCGTTAACGACCCAGCATATTTTTCGAAAAGCCGTTTTTGAAAAATTTTTTTAGTAATTTTTCAATGCATTTTAGGGTATTTTGTTACATTCTTGAGAAAATCATTGATATATTTGACAAAAATAGTTGTGGGCATAAATAGGTTAATAACCCGTTTATTTCCACCCTCCAAATTTATAACTCCAAAGTATAAACATTCAAATGATAAGAGAGGTAGTTGAGTTTTGGCTAGTACTGTATATTGATTGATTAAGATCACAGTATATAAAATGATAAATTTCAATAAAAATTGTAATCATTAATACTAATTACTTTTTGGTTATAAGTGTTTAATATTTATTAATATTTTAGAACATGACAAACATCTAATCAAAGGTCCAAATAAATGTGAGAATACCACCAATATGCAGGAAAATGAAACGTCTGATAAAGAAAACACTTCAATCAGTATTACAAAAGAACAATTGGAGCAAAGGTGCCGAACTTGCTTTATTAGAAATGGAACAATTAATGTATTTACTAAACACCACGGTGGAATCTTATTCTGTGATTTATTGAAAAAATTGTCTTTAGCTGAGGTTAGTTGGTTTTACTTGTTTATTTTATTTTACTAACACATCCTTTTTTTTTGCTTATTGTTTTTCGGGAGAAAATATGATAGCCTGTAAATAAATTGTTTCCTCTTACTTTAATACTTTTAATCATAACTCCGTCTACTCCTGGGGCTCTGTTAATTTTCATTTCTCTTAATAGATCAGAGAAATTAGCAAATACAAAGCCTTTTTGGCGACACTCTTTGATACATTTATCTAACAAGTGCTTTTGATAAATTTGGTTATTATGTTATGTAACAAATAAAATATGCAAAACATCAAACTTCAATTTTTACTTATAAACCATTATATGAAACATTTGAGATTGCTATTTGATTGTAAATACTAATTGTCCATTGAAATCAATATATTGTACCGTTTTTAAATAAAACGAGCCATGCTGGAAGCCTGTTCGTAACAATATATAAAGAGTGGCCCAAAAGTCTGGAAACGGCTAATTATCTCGTAAATTACTAGACATAATTATACAAAATTTGAGATACGCCAATTTTGGGATACGGAGATTCCATATTTGGTATTTGCAATGTTGCCAGATTTTTAGTTTCTCTTATATTACTAGTAACTTTGTTTTTTCAAATGCATCACCCTGTATATTCAGTCATTATTGGAGTCTCCTATTAAATACGAGTTCAACCCTATGTAACACTTATGATTTTATGTAGTCTGGAAGGTCTTAAATACATAAAACAGAAGGCTGGCAACGCCTAAATTGTTTCAATACATTTTTTAATACTAACTATTTTCAAATACATTAAAACGTAACAATTGATAGTTTAGAATATTTTTTAACATAATAGTTACGTTAATAAGTGTTCAAAATGTGCTCCATTTGTGAGTTGACAGCACTCTAATCGATGGTAGAATGCGTCTACCACATTTCTCCATGATTGTCTAGAAATTAATTATCTCGATTCGGTCAATGAATCTCGTGTCTGCAAACGACTATAATTTAAATGGTGCCCCACATGAAATCACTGTGGATGTGTTAAGAGACGAGTGGGTGGTAAAATGCACTTGTAAAGCCCACCAGGGAGGAATGTGCGTGTTTTATTAAGCATTAGTCTAGCATTTACCAGTTCCTCATTGATTTTTCTTGCGTGTTTTCCTTTAAGAAGGCATTGAGAGGGAATAACACCTTTCTTTGAAAATTTATTTTGCCCTGCTGCAGTTGGAATAGAAATTTTAATTAAGACCTATGTTAGTGTATATATTTGATTAGGTTAGGTAGGCACATTATATATAATATATGTTGTAATTCTGTTCAGCAAATTTACTTGAAAAAAAAAATGTTGTGAACACACGATCTTGTAGATTTTTGTTACGATGAAAAAAGTGCATAGTTATTCCTTCCGATCGATAATTACTGCATTGCCGCGCAGAACAATACTGTTTGCATTTACTTTTTAACATTTTGTTACCTTATTGTGCTTTATTTAATAATATTTAAAATGTTTATAACTATGTTATGTGTGTATAACTAAATACAAAATGTTTTGTTATCCTACGTGCACTAGTTCAAATTTTTACCGCACCGTGCCGCCTCTTTCGTTTGACATCGCCAATTATACAAAGCATTCCTCATGGTGTTGAGTTCATCTGCCGATATGTTTTGGCTAACTTGGATTATCTTTTCCTTTAGTTCCTCCAAGTTGGTGGCTCGCTCGAAATCATGCCTGTACAATTTTGTTTTTAGCATTCCCCAAAAATAAAAATCTAGAGGAGCTAACTCAGGTGACCGAGGGGGTCATTTTATTGTACCGTCTGTACTAATGACACGCTCAGAAAAATTTTAACGATAAATAGTCTCTAACGACTTTTGCATTATGTGCAGGACAGCCGTCTTGTTGAAACCAAATTTCGTTGAAGTTAATTTGAAGACGTTGAGTGCAGGAATAATTTGATTTTGCAGTAATTGGAGATATTTGACTGCGTTTAAATTGCCTTTAATGAAAAAAGGACCAATAATATGGTCTCCCAAAATTCCAGTTCAAACATTCAATTTTTGTGGATACTGCGTACGCACAGACAAACTCAAATGCTTATTCTCCTGAGACCAATAACGTACAGCGGATGAATTATGTTTCTTGTGAATTGTAAAGGAGGACTCATCTGTAAACAAAATATTTTTTTAAAAATTATTATTTGCGTGGCATCTCTCCATCATAAATTTCACAAAATTGCATCCGTTTAAATTTATCATCAGGAAATATTTCTTGAGTTGTCTGCACTTTATAACAATGGTAGTTGTTTCTTAGGAAAAATAGCAGGCAAACGCAGTCCAGGACGAAGAAGAACCTCATGGTTGAAGAACTTGCGAGATTGGTATGGTGTAGATACAAGCATGCTATTTAGGGTGGCAGTGAATAAAATTAAAATAGCTATGATGGTAACCAACGTTCTGAAAGGACATGGTACATGAAGAAGAAGAAGTTGTTTCTTGTGAATATATTCCTCACTGTTTTTGCATTAAATCAACTTCATCGGCAATTTGTTTACTTGAACACGACGTCGTTTCAGCCAATGCACAAACTTGAATTTCTCTAATTTCTCGTTCTTGAGAAATTTTCTTTTCGCGAGGTTGATCTGATGGGCAACATTTTTTACGTCGGCCGTTAGTACAGCCAAATTTTTCAAATTGATGAATAATGGCTAATACAGTTTTTTCTATAGGTATTGGTCTATTTTCAAAAGCCATAATAAATAAATTGATAGTTTCTTGTACTGAATTGCCCCCAAAGTACCATTTTATTATTTGTACCCGTTCTTCTGTTGTATAAACAGTCGGCATAATTATTTCTTATGTTCACACTTACAAAGTTACCTCCAAAAAGAAATACATAGCTGTCGTCCTGTTTCGTTTCGACGAATGGCGATGTTGCCAAAATTATCTTATATTATTCAAAATTGGGTTACATTTTCGTCAAATAAAAATGCCAATCTGTAAATTTTTCATGGATTTTAGAAATTTTGGACCAGTATTTGTGTCAATTAATGTTTCATTTTTAATATCATCATTAAGTTTTGAATGGCAATATAACCGCACCACTGATCGCCAATGTTTTAAATCAATTCAATGTTTTAATTCAAATACGTAATAAGGCAACCCTGTCGCGTTTAAGCTAAGCTGGATCGGAAATTCGTAAGACGTTCATTAATAGGCGTGTCTAAAAAATGTGGGGGGGAGACCAAGGGGAAATATATTTGTTTTCTTTGTCTATTCGCTGAAAATATGATTTTATATCTGTGTTAGATCCTGTTAAATTCTACCATATCGACCATAAACTTTTACCAATACTGTATATATATACAAATTGAATATAATCTAGAGATTAATTACTTTTAGCAAACATTTTATGTATTCTTTTTTCATTCCAGATTCATCAGTTGGATGGTTTACCACAAAAAATTTGCGGTTATTGCTCAAGCTTTATTATAAATGTATTCGCGTTTAAAAAGGAGATCGTTAAATCTTTCATAAAACTTAAGGCGGCCCGTCGACAGTTAGATAATCAAAATATACCGGAATCTCAATGTGATGGAAGCGGTAAATCCAAAGTATCGAGTAATATACATAAAGTCGTGGAAAACTTCAAAATACAAGTTTATGTAGAGGATGAGGAAGACAATGAAAGTAAGAATGAAATAATCCAACAAATTGTTGTAGCACCGAATCAAGATAATAATAAAAATAAAAATATTAACAAAGACAGTGAAAGTACTAGGAGTGTCTTAAAAGATAGTCATTTTGACGGGCCCAATGCAGATTCTGGAAGTCATAATAATTTCAGGAGCCTTTTAAATAATGTCGGCAATATACGGCGAAAATATTTGAGAACACGAAAACTTTTAATGTCACAAATTTTAAAACGAATTAATACTAGTACTAGTGTTCTTTTAGATCATAATTATATAAAAAGTGTTGATCGAAAGAATTGCATCACAAATAAAAAGCGTGGAAAAGAAAAAAAGAAGGTAAAGCTTTGTCCGTGTTCTAAAAAAGGACAAAAGTTTAGAATAAACAAGTTTTTAAACCGGCAGATATGTTTTGATAAATATTCTCATTGTGATAAATACACGTGTACATATTGTCAGAGCAAAAATTCATTATGGTTAAAACATGGGGCCCACAATAGGGGCAAACATCGAAACAAACATTTTTATACATAAAACATTCTGGTGAAATACTTCTGTGTAAAACATGTCGGAAGTTTTTTTAATGGGAATATTTAATCAGTTTTTACTGATTTATTATTCTGAGTATGAGAATAGTTAGTTTTCCTCATATACAGTAAGCGCCACGCTAGTAGACACACGGGTACCTAATCTCTAGACGTATTTGATGTACTGGGCTAATCTGGCCGGTTCTCACATGTGACTCTTAGCCGTTGCTCACAGATGGCGGAGCATGGTGTTTAATTTGTAACTGATTTCTGCTGTGAAGCACGTGGGAAGCGAAACTATATTGTTTTTCCGAACAATTTTTTTTGGATTATTTATATTTATCTGTTATTTTATATTTCTTGAATTATATTTTTAGTTTGAACGAATTTAGTTGTTTTTGTTCCAAAAAATAAACACATCAGAAAGCTTATTTTTATATTCTTTTGATTAATTAATTGTAATGTACTATAATAATAATACCATTTTAAAACTACCAGTCTTCAACTTGGCAACTAAAGATTCGTTTTGCTACATGTGGTATGAATGTATTGCAAAAAGGGGATCCTCAGAAATTGGTAGCCGTCTCCTCCTTTTTATTGAAAATCAGATCCAAGAAGGTGTAAAAGAGTTCACGTTCTAATCGGACAACTATTCTGGTTAAAAGAGAAACAAATATTTGTTTTCGTTATACAATTACCAGTGCCAAAAACACGAAATAAAAATTTGCCATACATTTTTAGAAAAAGACAGTCTGAAGGGGATTCGGTTTATAGCGTTATAGACGTATCTGTTTGTACTCCTGAACAATGGTATACAATCGCTAGGTCTGCGAAAAGAAAACAACCTTACGTTGCAGTTGAACTAGAGCAAGCAAACATACTAAATTTAAAAAGTCTACAAGAAAAACGGTAATCAACTGGGACAAGGATGAACAAAATGAAAAAGCCACGTGGAATAAAATTAAAACTGTTGAAACAGACTTTCATACCCCAAATGCAGTTTTCATCAAATTTTCTTACAGTAACGATGTTTCATTAAAATGTCTGTGTTGCAAGAGAGTTATATTGAATTCTTATCACATTTTTTTTTAATTTACTATTTTCTGAGCAAGAAACAGCAAAAGATTCAGATAATGACAATTGAATTAGGATTTTTCTATTTCTATCTTAGTAACATTATAAATTTGGATTATTTTTACGTTCGAATTATTTATTCATTGTAAAAATCTTTTTGAAAATGTGTTTGATTTCAAATAAAAGATTTAAACTAGGGGGTATTGTTTATAATTAATTAATATTATTACATCAGATCTATTCTGTCACGTTACAAAAGTAGTAACCTATAACCATGATACTATAAATTACAGATAAACCCACGCGCACGCGATCAGTCGTGTGACGTCCACTTGGCGACAAATGTCACCAGAAATGTCCTGTGTTGTATGGAGTTTTGTCAGATTTAGTCAAGGTTAGTAGATATTTAAGTATCTACTTAAATATCTACTAACCTTGAGATTTAGTTTTGTTTTATCGTTTATCTTGTACGTTGACATCGGTTTACTGGGTAAACCATCTTTCCGAAGGAGGTTTACTTAAACCATATCCAGATTTTCTAATTAAATGTAATGAACTGGACCATATTTTTAACAATTTTAACAAAGGGTCAAACAAATTAACCAAGAATTATTTAAAATCGCTAATGGATTTAGCTGTGTTCAGATGTAATGTTAGTAAAGGTGTAAATTATATTTTAAAATTAGAAAATTGAATAGATATATTAAAGAAACAATCCAAAGTTAAGAAGAAGAAAATATTAAAAATTGTAAAATAAATTGTTAAATAAACTTGTAAATTATTACAGTGTATTTTATTTTATCAGTTTTATTAAATTTTTATTTTAATAAATCTATCCATTGTATATAAATTTCCATTTGCAAAAGGATGTTTAGTTCTTACTTTTTTATATAATTTTAGTTTACATTGCTAGGCTAACAGAGATGTATATATAACATATTTTTAAGATTTAATTGCAGATATTTTACCTAAACATCCCTTAATATTCTAAATATTTAAATAAAAACCCCTTTCTTTCCATATATGTTTTTACCGACTGTGATGATAAAAGGTTGGTGATAAAAGTGACTTTTATCACCAATTGACGTCATGCGCGTCGATGTACAAAATTCGATTGCGAAGTGGGTTTATCTTGGAAGTCTTAGTATCATGCCTATAACGATACTTTACATAGAATTATTAAAAAACTTGTGAGTATACTATGTCCACTTATTTCATAATTACCGTGACGTGCAAGTGTTTTACTTTGAAAAATGGTATATATAAAAGATGCACAATTTTTTCTAGGCATAGGTATATTTATTTGTTGTTTAACATACTATAACAAAACAAGATAAGTTAACGCGCATGTTTTTGTGACGTAAGCCCGAGACAACTTTAATGACAAGTGTTCATGTTAATTATGTTGCTGTAGTTTTAATCGAGTTTGCTATCCTGTATATTTCAAAACGTAGTGAATGATATTTTTGAAGTTATACTTCTATATGCACGGTCGGCGTTGGAAATTTGCATGAGAGTGAATCTGTGAAACCATTACATATGTAAGACAATGAGTAAGAGAGAGACAGACGATATATTTCCTCTCTCGAGAATAAAAATTTTCCTTTGTATATATATTTAATATATAATATATATATATATATATATATATAATATATATATATATATATATATATATATATATATATATATATATATAATATGTATTCATATTATTATTTATGTGATATGTTTTGTATTATTTATTAAATTATATGTATGTGAATTTCCCTTTTTTTGTTTTTGAAATATTTAAAAACCTCACGTTAATTTTATTAAATATAATGTAATTAAACGCAAAAATGTTATATTTTAAAATAATATGAAAATTTACAACATAATCCGAGTTTTTTATTTTTATCTTCGTAAAGTAAGTTATGTATATTGGTAGTTTTAAATACTTATGAACATTGCATTTTAATTTATCATCATCATCATCTTTGGCTCGACAATCCTCTGTGGATCTTGGCCTGCTCTAAGATTCGTCGCCATTCTGTTCGGTTTTTGGCAACATGTTGCCATCTTCTGATTTTTAATATTCGTAAGTCGGTTTCTACTCCATCTAACCACCTAATTCGCGGTCGGCCTTTGCTTCTTTTTCCTACAGGTGTTCCTGTGGTTAGCTTTTTAGCAATGGTATTTTCTGGCATTCATATTATGTGTCCAGCCCATCTAAGTCGCTGTGTTTTAATGAACGTTATGACATCTGGCTCATCAAAGAGCTGTTACAATTCAAAATTATATCTTCTGCGCCACTGCCCTTGGTCGTTTACAGCTCCAAATATTTTGCGGAGTATTTTTATATAATTTATATTGTATTATATTAAATTATGTTGCAGTGTATTTATTGTATTGTAATTTTTATATTAATACAAAATAAACAATGAATTTTACTGCAGAGTATGTGTAAAAATTTTTTTTGCATTAAATTCCTTTTATACATATATGAAAATAAAAAAATATATATTTTCATTGAAATATTGATACAATTCTTCATTTACTATACTCATATTACAGGTCAAATGTTTATATACAGCAAACGATGCACCATGTACCTATATACCTAATTCTTTTTCTCTTTCTGCCCTCTCTTAACTATAGCATTGAATATGTAATGATTGTGCAGATTGACTCCCATATAAATTTGTAACGGCGAACGCGTGTATATAAGTATAACTTCTACCGACAGTCCCGCTGGACTGCCACACCTGTTTTTTATTTATTCATTGACATAGTTAAGACTTTGTTGGTTTTAGACACACTTTAACAGCAGAGCAAATTTTTTTATAGATGATAATAAATGTTTCTATAGATAATAATATATATTAATGCCCATTTTAATAGAACTGGAAGTAATACCAGAGAACTAGTTCTCTGGTAATACTTTATTTTTGATAGGTCTTTAAATGTATGTAGTGAACTGGAACATATTTTTCGTAGTTATAATGGCATACGTCCATGATATCGACACATTAAAAATAACAAAAAAATATTTAAAAAACTTTAAGATGTAAAATGTATTTTAAAATATGAATTCTAAATCAAAATATTAAAGGTAAATTCAATATCCGCAAGAGAAAAATCACAAAGATTGTAAAATAAATGTCTAAATGATATTCATAAAGTCTCAAGTATGACCCGCTTTTCCTTTATGGTCAAATTCTTTACATTTTGCCGGCTTTTTATATTTAATTTATGATTTGTAGCAATATTTATTTTGATTTTAATACACACAATAAAATTGTAGATTCATATATTTTTTTACTTAATTTTACAAATTACTTATTAATTTTCAAACCAAGTTTTCACAGAAAGTAACTAGTTATGACTTCTTAGTGCAAGATATGGCATCGAGATATACTTGCTTAAGCAAGAATATAGACGCTTAAAGGTCGATTCAGACACATCAGTCACGTCTCGTCACACTCCTGGCGCTGAACCGAACAATCCGTCATACAAAATATTCTTAAATAGAAATATAGCGCCGGCATCCACATTCATCAGTTGACGAACAGTTTGTCAGATAGTTGATAGTTCTGTGACCAAACAGGACCGATTCGGCGCCGAGACTGTGACGGGACTGATGTGTCTGAATCGACCCTAAGCGTTTTATATTCTTTGGTTTAAGTTTCGAAGTTGTTCATTGCAGTAATGGAACAACGTTGCCATATGATGCATTGTAATTCTGCAATTTTTATTATATATAGAGTAGATATTGGTCTCTTTCAGGATTAATTGCAAACATCTTTTGTAATCTGGCAACTGTTGATTTGACGATTGCCAAATCTATCAAAGGGTAACTGCTAAAAAAATTTCTAATAATTAACTGCAAATAATCTCCAAAGAAACAAATACTTACTGATTTTTGTTTTATATAAATCAAAAATTGCAGAATTCATAACACAATATAAACAAAATGTACTTTTCTCAAGCTTTATCTTTTTATATTTGAAGTATACAACATCTACATTCTAAAAACATGCCAACACTGCTATACCGAAATTTGTTGTTCTATGTTTGACATTTGCGGCTATTAGAGCGTTTTTGTGCAAGCAAATACGTATACGTAACGTATCTTTTTGATATATAAGCATGCGCATTTATGGTTGAACTAACGTATCTAGATACGTATTACCTGACGTAACGGGCTGATACGTTACGTTCATACGCATCCCTATCGAGCCGAAAGTAACCGAATGA